CACATTGAGGCACCTCGTATGGTGCATCACCGCATCACTGATTTCTCTCCAGGAAACAGGAAGGTGCAATCAGCATCGGAGCACAGACTCTGATCAAATTGGCATCTGTTGAAACATGTTCAGCTAGTACATGTACTAGTTTGTGCTGTATAACATTTAATTGGTATTATTATCATGGCCACTCCAGCTGCACGACAAAGCGATCATTTCCGCACCTAAGCAATGCTACCTGTAGGCTAAAGTGAACATGTATTTTGATCGCTTGGCAGGGTTCACTCAGCAGCAGAAACTGATAGCCAGCTAGCTGCAGTCCTTCAACACTGGTTGTTCTGAATATTCATGCTCATGCACACATATTGGAGAGAATACATGAAGCAGGACAGGAAATGTGTCTCTGCCAGGTCTGAATGAGGACACCTAGTGCCACACTGCCAGGTCTGTTGATACTCAGAGAGTAGTAACCCACTCAACATCAGTTTGCTGCTGTTCCTGATCAGTTGGCACCCTGGACATGTCTATGGTCGGATGAACCTAGGTCTCCGAGCTGCCAATATTGTTGGCGTGCTCCACTGAAGAGACAAAGGATGTTGCTTGAGCTCTCTCCGTGGAGGCTCACCCCGATTTTGATGCGGGCAGCTGGAATGCTCCACCCATACACACTCACAGTCATCAAACCCGGTAATTATATTGCTATTCATAAGCTTGTGAAGACAGCTAAAAACAGTCATTCCTTTCAAACAAGCTTCCAGAGACGAAGTTGATAAACTCTGTCCGGCATAAGCTGTTTGCCTGTGTTTTTCTGACCTTGCATCTCTATTAACATCACTCTAAGTTCCTTTCCTTTGGAAAACTAGCACTAGCCATGCTGATGCACCAGTCAACGCAAAGCATTGTACTAGTTGGTACGTGTATATTGATTGTATTTCTGGGTGTTCAGGAAGCAGTTGCCACTGACGAATGCAAGGTGACTTCCTTTGCCGCAGAGCTACCCTCCTGGAAACCACCCAATCTACCCGGTAAGCTCTAGCAGTCCAGTAGATCTGATGAGTGACGGGCTGAAGGACCTTAGGAAGATGAATGTGTATGTTTGTATTAGTGCTGAAACGATTACGTTTTTTCCTTAGTGGCTAAGCTGATACCATAACGATCGGCTTATCGGCTAAACGATTATTATTGTACCTACATCAGTACAATGTACATTCTGTGAATTTCAAAAAAAATAAAGAGTCCAACATCGCCAACGACGGAAAGCGGGTGCATAGATCCGATGATCCCGCAACAAGTCCGTCAGCTGTTCGGACTGACCAGGCGGATACAGACAAGACAGAGGCGACGCACTGGTAGCAACCCAAGAGCTGATGGTGACCTTCGCCTGTGACTTCGCTGACTCCGACGATGAAGTCAGTGAAGCTGGCCAGGGGTGCAAATCGGCAGATTTCGACAGATAAGCTGACTTGAGGCGCGTCAACAAGTAACTAGTTGCTTTTCCTGTCTATGCTCAACGTAGGCTCCGACGCCAGGCCTAGCTCGTCGTCGAGCAAACTGGTTCGGGAACAGTCGACAGAACGGAAAACACGAAACTGAAGACCCCTTTACTGTCTTTAGCTCAAGACTACCCGCACGTTGAGGGAACTCCAGCCCCTGCAGCTAGTGTAGCCACATACTGAGGCTGCCAGTCCTGCATGCTGTATGTAAGAAAAGTAGTCAGCTGAAAAGACGGCGACAGTGATCGTGTCGATGTTTCTCAGATCGTGCTTGTACTTTTACACGTGCATCGATGTTGCAAGTTTACAGTCATGTACATATTCGTGTCGTACTCGCACCACTTTCGGTGCATGCACACTCTGTGCGACCCCAAAAGGGGGGAAATCCTGTACCGAGCGTAAGTACCATTCTACTCGTTTAGCCGATAAAATCGAAATAACCGCTCGATCTATTTCTTATCGAGTAAGTAACGAGTAATCGATATAATCGTTTCAGCACTAGTTTGTATGCCAGTGCGCTTGGGGGGGGGGGGGGGGGGCAATCCAGAAATGGGAGCACTTAATGCCGATCCCGGAGGTTCTTGGCTGGTTGGTTGGTTGGTTGGATTTATTTAAAGTCGTACAACAAACAGGCATATCTGCCTCCTTATATGAAGACGACTTCTGGCAGTAAAACATTTTAAAGAAAAGAGAAAGGAAAAAAAAGAAGATAAGATCAAGAATGTATAGACTGAGCATACAGCTAGCCTCGGCATGTATCAGAGCATCAGGATTACTACATACTCTTGGACTTCTTCTGCGGTGGTATTCATTTCTATTGTTCCAGTGCATTGCAACCTGCGTGTGATCCCAACCTGTGCTCTCTGCTGTCTGCTCCGAATCCAGTTACAAGCCACTTCGTCCATTACCACCATAGATTCTTCCTCCATGTATACTTCACCAGCTCTGCCATGCATGTCAAGGTTGATCCATGGTGTACAGCGGGACTGGTGGACAGCAGCAGCAGCCTTGACACCAGCAGCAGCAGCAGCAGCCTTGACACCAGCAGCAGCAGCAGCAATCCCGCCCCTGCTAGTCCCAGAAACAGTAGTAGTGGTGGTCACATGACTGCTGCTGATCAGCCATGCAGCTACAATATTTCAGAGGCCAATGCATTACCACTGCGGTGGATAGTGAATGCAACCACAGACAACCCTGTCTGTGCGTCGGGAATTCTACGACCAAGACCAAGCACTGCTCAACTGAACTTATATATTCTGCCGCACCATAATGCTTCCAAATTGCTACGCAACTGGTCCAGCGTCACTGTCGCAGTTTATGACGATCCAGCAAAGTACCTGCGTCTGCCAGTACTTGCCTTCAGAATCATGAGTGGTGAGCATTCCAGACTTCGTATTTTGTCAGCTGCTGCTGCTGCTGATGCTGCTGCTGGTGGTGTTGTTGTTGTTTGTAGTTGTTGCTGTTGTTGTTGTTGTTGTTGTTGTTGTTGTTGTTGTTGTTGTTGTTGTTGTTGTTGTTGTTTCAAATCTTTATTCTCACGATAGCTGTTGTTGTTTCAAATCTTTATTCTCACGATAGCCAGTGGCCTATAAGAGGTAATAGTGTAAGAAAGGAGAAAGAGTGAGGAAGAATTGGGTGGGCAGGGCCAAGGGGTTAATGACTACTTAAGTGTACGGTTGTTGTTGTTGTTGTTGTTGTTGTTGTTGTTGTTGTTGTTGTTGTTGTTGTTGTTGTTGTTGTTGTTGTTGTTGTTGCTGTTGTTGCTGTTGTTGCTGTTGTTGCTGCTGTTGTTGCTGCTGTTGTTGCTGTTGCTGTTAAATGCTGCTGCTGTTGCTGCTTCTGCTGCTGTTGCTGCTGCTGCTGCTGCTGCTGCTGCTGGTGGTGGCAGTGGTGGTGGTGGTGGTGGTGGTGTCGGTTGTGTTGCTGCTGCTGCTGCAGCTAGTGTTGTTGTTGTTGTTGTTGTTGTTGTTGTTGTTGTTGTTGTTGTTGTTGTTGTTGTTGTTGTTGTTGTTGTTGTTGTTGTTGTTGTTGTTGTTGTTGTTGTTGCTGCTGCTGTTGTTGTTGATGCTGCTACTGCTGTTGTTGTTGGTGTTGTTGTTGTTGTTGTTGTTGTTGTTGTTGTTGTTGTTGTTGTTGTTGTTGTTGTTGTTGTTGTTGTTGTTGTTGTTGTTGTTGTTGTTGTTGTTGCCATTGCTACAGTCCTCGCCATTGTTATCTTCATTATCATATCAGAGTTGTGCCATGCAGGAATCGATCGAAGTCATCAAACTTAGTACTGGTCTTCGCTGTACCTTACTTCCACCTGGCTCTTGCAGTTTGTTATCTGCTTAGAACCACATCTTCGCCTTGATCCTTGAGGCTGATGGCGTTCCTACGGATGCGGAAAACCAGTCCGAGTCTCGCGCAAACCGTGAAATTAGTTAAGAACTGCATAATCGGTATTGATATTCCAACTCACTACGTGTGTTTATGCCTGTGCTTGTTTGACAGGACCAAAAGGCGGCCAAACCCTCAGCCCATCGTTCTCATCTTGGCAATTTTCTGGCTATAGCAAGATTTATCTAACAGAAGGCGCAGAGAAATGTGTCCAATTTGTATTAACTCCGACCGGTCTGGAGCCTTGCCATATTGCTAAGGAAATGATGTCACTCTACCGGGACAATGTTCTCCTGGATCGAGAGGGGGCTGACGTCAACATATCCATGACCTCCTCATCTGGCCAGTGTCTTCCGACCAAGATCGGGGTTTGTTTTCTATTGCCGCAGTCGAACAAGACCGAGGGCAACTACACCATGGTTCTCTACGGTGGTAGCACGTGTACCGGACTACACTGTGATAACATCCTGCTGCATCAGTTCTCAGTGATAGTTAAACGTGCTCTTCTAATGGCAGCAGCTACGACCACCTTGGCCACAACCTCAGGTACTAAAACTGCCGCAGTAGAAATGATCATCTTACATCAATTTAAGAATACACAAAGGTCAAAAAGAATGGTTCCACCAATTATATATACATACGTTGTAACGCTGCGTTTCATGCACGTAGCTAAATGCTAAAGCAATCATCAGACAACTAATGCTTTTGTCGCGGGATAGCTTGTTCTTATTGTGGGGGATACGCATGGGCATGTAGAGGAGGTGTGAGTTATCAATGCAGGGCATGCATGGGAAGAGCGAGTGATAGGAATTACTGTAACGGAAATGCTTCTCCCCCTGGCCCTCGCCACACAACAACGCAAACTCTTGATTGTATCTTCAATACTCTTATATTATACCAAGAAATGACGAGGGCGCAGGAGGAGAGAGACAAACTTGGTGAGGACAAAAAGGACAACGGGAAGACTCTCGGGAAAAGACTAAGTCCAGACTCGAAGAAAACAACAACGAACAAGCAGTAATAAACCGACGACAAATCGAGACGACCAATCAGGGACGAATACGTACAGAACACATGACCAAGACCAAGACAACCAGACCACGGACGAATCACACATGACTCTCATTCCCAGACCAAACTAGCACTGCGCATGTACAGCATTCACTTGACAGTCACTCTCACACAGACGGAAGCACATCCTCACACTCTGACAACGCGTACTCTTGCATGCACCACATACCATAAACGTCACACATCACACCATACTCGCGCGTACACTTAGACCATATATGACATCAGACACTGGACTCCACAAGACAAGAACCAAATACAACGACATGCGTAAATCATTGTTGTAATACAAATAATTCGTCACATTACATCACTGGATGGGCATGCGCAGTAGGCGCGAACTATGCATGGAGCGTGCAGAGGCGGAGAAACCACCAGGCCGGACAAGGGTAAGGCATGGGGGCACTGGGCAGGGGGTGTGATGTGTGGCGGTGGAAGCACACTGTGGTGTCCACATTCAACAGCCGCGGGTATTCAGAGGATGTGGCGGTGATAGTAGTAGCGCGCGGTGGCTATGTCACGGCAGAGTAGGTGGAGAGGTAGAACTTGTTTTGGTGTCTGCACTTTGATACCAATTCCGACCTCTTGTTGAGCAGAGTGTGAAGCGTCTTGAAGGTGATGATGCGCAACTTTTCTGCTAAACACAAGCAGCACCTTTTGGATATGTTGCTGTAGGACTTGGCCCGATCTATGACTGCCCATTTGATACTGTATCCCTCACCTTGGTCAGCCAGCGCCCATGTGTGCTTGGATAGCTCGGTCTTGGTACGGTACTTTTCATGCCGCATGCTGGTTAGACGGTTGCCATAGCGCACCTTGAAGGGCGTCTCGCACAGGCCGATGTATTGCCTTTCCTCGCCGGTACTTGGGGTTGTGACGGAGGCCTGGTACACCACTTCCCCCTCCAAGCATCCGCCGCCCAAAGGGCATGATGGCTTGGCTCGGCAGTTGCACCCTGCCGCAGATCTCTCTTCACCAGGCGTTAGTACCTTTTGGTTGTGTCCCTTCATCAGGTAGGACATGTTGGGCATGCAGGAGTAGCTCAACTTCAATGTGTTTCTGTTGAAGATCTTGTGTAGTGGCGACGCGACAGGGAAATGTTTTCTGACTAGTTTGAAAAACCTCTGGCCGATATTGGTGGATACAGATTTGCTGTATGGTGGGTTGTACCATGTTATGTTTCTCCTCCGCTTGTTCTTCTTCTTGTTCTTCTTCTTCTTGGTAGGCCCACCGCAGCGTTACAACGTATGTATATATAATTGGTGGAACCATTCTTTTTGACCTTTGTGGTTACGCTCCGCCCTTGTGGTGTTGAGCACTGTTGAAACCTGGGTATACCCACTTATGTCAATTTAAGAATATGTATTGCAGGGTGATCCTTGAAGACAGAAATGTAATGGTAGATGTCCCAGTTCTGTGGCCCACTGTATAGAATCACATTGGCGGCTACTGAAGAAACTGAAATGACATGAGCAGACGGAGAAGTGGAGAAATCTTAGTTGCAAGACCAGGCGAGTTTAAACTTGGTATTTCCTTCTGGTATACATGTACATTTACTTGATAGTTCCAATGCCGTGTATGTATTTGCATTTACAGGAAGGCATCGGCCATATCACACTAACTCCTATTCTCTTTCTGCAACGAACATGAGCTTGACAACGAGCGTTGAGATGCGGGAAACGTCCATGCGCTTTTCTCTGCCTGGTTTGCTGTCAACCAACGACCGGGCTCCTGCGAAAAGCGCCGTGCCAGTCAGCAGCAGCACGATGGCATCACCAACCAAGCCGCTTTCAGAGTACACAAGAACTCCTCTGGCTCCATCACTGCCACCAAGCTCAGAGTCACAGTGGAGTGTCCACCTTGTTGCTACGCTGTCATCGACCATGGGAGTTGCTTTGCTGTTGGGCCTGATGATTCTTTGCGCTCTATATCGAACACGATGGCGCGTTCGTCCACCTTCATCATCTCTGCACAGGGCAAGGAAGGTCTACCTCAAGAAGACATGTAAGAGAGTCGTAAGAGAACACTGTAAACTGGCTCAATTTGGTGGGTACCAATAAAACTTTAATGTTAAAGAAGCGATTCATAAACCAATCTCAATTTTTTAGCAATTAACAATCAGCAATTCACATACTAGTACTGAAGTACCGTATGCCGTGCAGAATGCTGACTTTTGCGGTGACTAAACTTTAGCGAAAACACTCCTTTTTCCAAACGCACGCACACACACACACACACACACACGCGCGCGCACACACACACAAACACACACAAACACACACACACACACACACCGGCACTCACACACACACACACACACACACTCACACACTCACACACACACACACACAAAACACACCCATAATATGCTCATACATGTGTACTGTGTGTGTGTGTGTGTGTGTGTGTGTGTGTGTGTGTGTGTGTGTGTGTGTGTGTGTGTGTGTGTGTGTGTGTGTGTGTGTGTGTGTGTGTGTGTGGCAATTCATCAGCTTTGCAAGCTGTTGAACGGTGTAACCCCAGCACGCGTTGCAATGTCTAACAAAGCTTGTTTGCTATCATCGCTTCGGCAATGTGTGTGTACAGTGTGTGTTGTGTGTGTATGTGTGCGCGTGTGTGTGTGTGTGCGTGCATGTGTGTGTGTGTGTGTGTATGTGTCACCTGTGTGCAGCCATATCCAGTACGGAGTCCGAATATGACCAATGTCACTGTGCTGCGAGGTCATTAGCAGGATCTCGCTCCATTCTCACCCCTGCCTCCAACTCATCATGCTATGTCAACTGCCCTCTGGAGGGCCGTTCACATTCTCTACCGGCTATTCGCTCCGCTTTTAACAACAGTATGTCCGCAGAGGGCGCAGAACACCCCTACACAGTGGATCCAACTGAGTACATCACTATTGATCTCGAGGCAGCCGCTGCAACCTGTGAGCTGAACAGCAGCTCCAAGGCTGATCCTCAGTATGCCAGCCTGACTGACCTAGTGGGCGAAATCGGCCAGCAAGGACTGAAGACCCACGCAGACTCGGGAAAACATGATGGAAGCTGTCCGCCACACACTGGCAAAGCACTAACCCTACCAGCGACAGCAATGGCAGCAGCGGCAACAACAGCAGCAGCAGCGGCGGCAAGGACCCAGCACAATGAGGATTACATGTACATGGCAACGGACGCTATGCCGCGCTCGCACATACTTGAGGCAGCCGCAATGAGAACCAGCCGAGCTAGATCTCTCTCTGGCAAGGCAGGACAGCCACCTCGAGGCAATATCAAGCATGTCCGCTCCGAGCCAGGAATCGGTACCGCGGCGAACAACAACACCCAGGCCAACACCAAGCCCGTCCTGGTCGAGGATGAAAATGGCTATGCGTGCATGCGTGCCCAGGCAAGTACTCATCTCGCCACAAACGCACAGCACAGACATCCGAGCCTGTATTTGCGTATCAGGCCACGAATGTTATCAAAGGCCCCCTCCCCCAGTGTGTGGTATCTGTGTCTCATTTTCGGAAGCAAATCAGTTTAATGGTACAATGAGCAATGTGCATGCACTCGCGATGCCATGTCAACTGCACCAATATGAGTATCTACACTCTACAGACAGGTACCGGGTTGCATCGTGAATAGGGCAGAATTCTGAAAACGAGTCTCCAGCACAGGTTACTACACTACATGTAGGGTAAAAGGGCAGCTGCTCACTCGGGGGAGGGAGGGAGGATTGGGAGGAGGAGGGGGCAGGAGGATGAGAGAACTAGAATAGGTCCTCGTATTACAGTCAAACCTCGTTAGGATGAACTTCAAGGGACCGAACAAGTTTGTTTGTCTTATCCGGAGTTCTTCTTATCCAGATCTGACAAAAAATTAATATGCATATCATAATGGTTTGTATTCGTGTGAAGGTGCGTGCTGTGGCAAATGTAAAACATTTTTTGCATAACATAACCCAGCAACAGGTAAGTACAATGTGCAATGAATTCATTACAGCATTACATCCGCCTTGTAACATGTTTTGCCAGTACAAGAGGCCTCGACTACCGGAAAAACTACAGCTAGCGTACCCACAGGGACCGAACGTTCGTACTACACGCTGATTTTGTTCAAATCGCGCTTGAAATAATTATTAGTTCGTCTTCATGAAAGTTCGCCGTACAGAGTTCGTCGTATACGAATAATTTTGACTTGATATTATTGCCTGGCCACCCATAGGATTGGCCCTAAGTAAAAGTTAGTTTGTACAAGTGGAGGGGATGGTGTTGATGCCATTGAGAACAGCTAGGCGATGGAATGATTCCAGCTGGAGGCGAGTTTTTCCGAGCGTACATGCTTTGCAGCCATACTCAGCCAACCGAGTGTGCAGCTACAGGTACGTTGTTGGCATGACAACTTGACATGGATGATGATGTCTTGGCCCTGCAGACATTGTTGGCATGACAACTTGACATGGATGATGATGTCTTGGCCCTGCAGACATTGTTGGCATGACAACTTGACATGGATGATGATGTCTTGGCCCTGCAGACATTGTTGGCATGACAACTTGACATGGATTATTATTATTATTATTATAGACAACACCTCATGGCATGAGAAGAAAATCAGCCAGTACGGGAGATGTGGGTGTTAACCAACCATGGTGAATAAAAGAAGAAAAGTAATGGTCAAGACGGAGAAGCATGGGAGGGACAGGTGATGGTGAATCTAGTGAGCAGATTTAAATGCGTCCAGGGTACTGGCATTGCGCGTAGTAGCGGGCAGCGCAAGCCAAGCAGAGTAAGCAACAAAGAGTGGAGAGCGTACAAGGGAGGACGTTTTAGCCAAGGGGAGGGCAACAGAGCATCTTGTCTGGGAGCCATCTGTGATTCGGAACCAGTTATACACGTTAAGATGAGGAGGATGTAGAGCTAGTTTAAATTTGTGAGCAAAAGTGCAAATTAATTTTTGACGGTGGGTCGACAGTGGGCAAGCATTTGCAAGGACATACAGGGAAGCAGAAGAGTAGAGAGGGGGTGGACTAAACAGGATACGAAGAAGTTTTCTATGGTGGATTTCGAGATGCTCAGCGAGAACCGAGGACAAGCCACACCAGCTAACAGCAGCGTACATGAAAAGAGGCAGGATGTACAGTTTGTAAAACAAAATTTTACATTTGAAAGGAAGATGGAAACAATGGGGACGTATAACACCTAGGGCAGAGCTTGAACGGCTGCAAAGAGCATCAATATGGAAAGACCAAGAGAGACGATCATCAAGCATTATTCCCAGGTGTTTATGGTTGGAAACAACCTTTATGGGTTCTGGGAAATCAGGATGGTGTAAAAGTGACATGGATGAGATTGGGGGAAGGAACATTATTTCGGTTTTAGTCAGGTTGGGTCTAAGTCGCCATGTTTGCATCCAGCGTAGGACACTGCATATCTGAGCCGACACTCGAGGTACAAGAGCCGCTGAGGACGAGGATGCTGACAGTAGGGTTGTATCATCAGCAAATAACGAGACACCTGGGTCTAGAGAGGGTAAATCATTTACGTATGCTACGAACAAAAGAGGTCCAAGTATGGAGCCTTGGGGAACTCCAGAAGACACTGGTAGAGGATCAGAGTTGATGGAGAGGGCAGAAACAAACTGGGATCGGCTACTCAGATAGGACTCCAGCCAGGACAGAGCAGGGCCAGACACACCAAAGACAATATGTAGCTTGGCAAGGAGGCCACGATGCCAGACAGTATCAAAGGCCTTTGCCAAGTCAAAGAAACAGAGAGCAATATGGTGTCGAGCATCACGAAGGGTGGCAATGTCTTGTACTAGACGAGCTAGTTGGTCAGAGGTTGAGTCGTTGCGCCGAAAGCCAGATTGGGAAGGGCTAAGGCATGGTGAAATGTGGCAATACAACTGGTCGTAAAATACCTTTTCACATACTTTTGAAAGGGAGCAGAGAAGAGATATTGGACGATAGTTTGAGGCTTGTGATCGGGAGCCTTTACACTTGTAGATGGGCGTGACCTTAGCGATCTTCCAACGATCAGGAAATACGCCGGAGGAGTAGGAAAGGTTGAATATAAGGCACAGTGGGTACGCCAGAGATGGAGCCAGAAATTTGAGAACTTCATTTGGTAGGGCATCAGGACCAGGGCTTTTGTTGCTTTTTAGTCTTTTTAGGTAGCTGCGAACAGATGATGTGGTGGTATGTATAGAGCGCAGATCAGAAGACACAGTCGCAGAACGTTGCAGAGGTGGTATTGGAGAGGAATGATCGTCTGGAATACCAGCTGATGTGAATTGCGTATTGAGAGTATTAGCTATAGACTTGGGGTCAGTCACCATCGAACCATTGGAAGCTAATAACGGTGGTATGTCTTGACGTGTACTAGTTGTCCTTTGAGTGCGAACAAAGGTATACAGGTTAGGCCTGGAAGAGGGGTGAGATAGGGTGGTAGTGAGCGAACGTAAATATGCTCGATACTTAGAACGTGACAATGACTTCACCAGATTGCGCTGTTTTTTTGTATAAAGAAATATTAGCATAGGTGGAGTACTTCTTACTTAAGCTGTAGTAGTCGTATTTGAGTTTAATCGCACCTTGGAGATCTTTGTCGAGCCAAGGGATCTTGGGGTTACGGCTGGACTGACGAGGGTGGTGGCTGCCATGTTTGGGTGTAGCGGGTCTTGCTCCGTATTGTGGCACATAGAAGGAGAGCACGTCATCAAGAACTGTGGTGAACTTCTCCACAGCTTCATCAACAGTAGTGGAGGTGAATAAAAGATGCCAGTCACAGGCAAAAAGTGCAGAGTTGATGATTGACCAAGTGGAGGGTGTAACCTTGCGGAAGGCATGTCGCGGAGGGGTAGGAGTCTGAGAGCAGTTGTAAGAGGTGTTAGCAGTGGCAATGTTGTAGGCTAGCGTTGTAATGACTTGCAAATGATCCGATGCAGCAAGCGGGGCAGCATCGTCAACAGAACGTACAGAGAGGGGGCGGTTCGTAGCCAGCAAGTCCAGACAGGACAGTCTTCCATTCGGAGCGACACGGGTGGGGAAATTGACAAGCTGCTGGAGGCCAAAGCTAGAGAACACGTGTGATAGCTCCGTACCAGCACGCGATGTGGTGTCACCACTCCACCAGTCAGAATTGTGGGCATTGTAGTCACCGGTAAGAAAAACATCAAATAAAGAGAGGTCCAAGGAACACAGCGTGTCGGTAAGTGTGTCGCAAAAGGAGGTGATATCAAGAAGGGATTGTGAAGGGGGGCGGTAATGACAGCAAATGAGTAGCGGATTGGCCCGGAGACCTGCCGGTGCACCAAGCTCAAGCCATAAGGCCTCGCTTTGGGGAGAATCAAGGTCATGGCGACGGGTGCAATGTGGAAATGTCCCATCACGTATGAGAATGGCCACGCCACCATAGCCACGTAGGTTTGATCTCAGGTTCTTATGTGATGATGATGTCTTGGCCCTACAGACATTGTTGGCATGACAACTTGACATGGATGATGATGTCTTGGCCCTGCGGACAGTCTGTCTCCTTCATATTAATTTTTTAAAAGCAGTCGCTGTCAAAGAAATCCGACACGCGAGTCAAAAGTAGCGCCGCATTTCCATTTGGATTACCGGTGCATTCATGCACGATCCAAATAAAGGCAAAAAACCCATCCGAGAGCCGCAGGGGCCGCTCGAGACTTGGTGCTGGTTTCGGCTTATGGGTCGGATTTCTTTGGCCCCAGATGTACATTGTACAAAGAGTACATGAAAACGAGAGTGTGCAGCTCGGATGGGTTGCTGTCACGGCGAAATTCCGTGACTACTACAGTCCATTCATAAAAAGATGGGCTCTGGCTCTGGCGAGCTCCCGTATTTGGCGATTTTTCGTGATTTCATCGTACACAGTGCAGTGCTGCGAAATTTGAAATTTAAAAAGGGTCCAAAAAGGGTACCTGAACCGGGGTTCGAACCGCACAATGCACTGTCGCAGACGGGGTCAAACGGCCTGGATTTTTATGGTTTTTCCCAATTCAATGGTTTGGGGGCAAAACCTGGCCGAAATCCTATTCTTGTTATGGCTTGCTTTTTGGAGAAAAAAACTTCAGAAACATAATTGGAAGAGGATTCCATAGAGGATTGCAGAAAAAATTCTAAAAAAACTCAACGTTTGACCCATTTATGGCCAAAAGCTAGAAGTTCATTTTTTTCTGAATGGACTGTAGTACATCATTTTAGTGATGTAGTGGGTACAAGTAGGATTCAAGCAGGTCTCTTTCCAGCACCTGCAGCTCAGTTGTACCCACTACGCCATTTCCCGCCTCAGATCTGCGCCAAATATGATGTAATCGCGGAATTCCGCGCTCCGTGACAGACACCCATAGTAGAAAAAGCCCCTAGCTAGCTGCACACTCGCCACACTCTGGTTTTCATGTACTGTACTCTTGATTGTACAATGTAGTGTGTGACTAGTATACGTGTATGCCACTTGTTTATCACCAGTGAGTCGTCAAATTCCATGTTACCATGTATAAGTACATGCACCTGTGCAATGTACTTACTTCTTGAAGTATACAATGCCATTCTGGTGTCGTCCATATCCACGTTCTGAACAGGACGGGTGCTCTGCAAATCTAAAGACAGTGCAACGCCCAGATCGCCCTGCATTGCAAAGACAGTGCAACACCCAGTGCGTCCTGAATTGTACATGTTGCGCGTTCTGTGAATACGCTCCAATTGTGCACCCACATGATTTGGGACTTTCCCCTATTTTCTCTTGTCCAGGTGCAAGCCAGGAGCCAACAGTAGCTGCTTGAAATCACAAGTCAACTCTTCATGCCAAAGAGATTCAATCTATACAATGTGAGCGGTGATGCGGCAAGAATATTATTTCACTGGCTCCCGGTAGTTACATCTACACAAAGAGGCATGCCAGATACCACTCTCCATAGTAACATCCACACAGAGAGGCATGCCAGATAGCACTCTCCATAGCAATTCGAATGGACTACCACCTCCTGCAGACGCATGTGGCGCTGGGCGATATTGCATGACTGAGCGATGTCATGACTGGTATTGCAATGCGCACGTCCACTTTCTCTTTGTACAGATATTTCAAGCATGGTGCGCGCACGCGCACGCGTGTGTACATTTGTGTGTGTGTTTGTGTGTGTGTGTGTGTGTGTGTGTGTGTGTGTGTGTGTGTGTGTGTGTGTGTGTGGTGGATACCAGGCTAAAAATAGTGGCGGTCAATTCATCAGCCTTGCAAGCTGTTGAATGGTGTAATCCCAGCACAAGTTGCTATGTCTAACATAGCTGTTCGCTATCATCGCTTCCGCGATGGGCATGTCTGAGGTCTGAGGTCTGAGGTGTGTGCAAGCACATACTGGTACTTACGGGGACAGTGCGCATAACTGCCGCAACAAGGGCACAATAATACTGCAGTATAGCAGTATAGCAAAAGCAACTGACCACACCACCATTTACAGGTAACAATAATCGGAAACTTATTGCCATTCCTGTGCAGTGTCACGGTGCAGACTGGCTCCCTCAAGTTCTTGCAGTTCCTGAACTGTCTCAGTTGATCCGCCCATCTATGTAGCATTCCTTTGGCACTCTCTACCTGCATTGACAGCGGGGACTACATGTATTGTGCTTTTTCCGCGGTGTTGCTGTCTATTGTATCTCATTTTCTTCTCGTATGATAGTTTTGATGTTCACTGCCGTAAAAGTGCGCAAATAAGTACCCGCCCATAATAAATCCCCCCCCCCCCCCTCCTTCATCCCTTTGAGTCTGAGTTTGACTACCGTATTATCTCTAATATAAGCACAGTCTCCAATAATAGCACGTCTCCAATAATAGAACACCTTGGGGCGGCATTCAAAAAATAAAGTGCTCAGTCTCCATTATAAGCACACTGTGTAAATTCATTATCTGTACCGGCGAAAAAACCCTGAAATGTGTGTGTTTGGCATGAATTTGGCATGGCAACATGCCTCTGAAATGAGGTTGAAATAATAATGGAACAGTCTCCAATAAAGGAACGTCTCCAATAATAGCACGCGGCGGAGGTAGATTGAAAAAAATAAAGGACCGTGCTTATATTAGAGATAATACGGTATCTGTTGAAGTCACGTTCAGCCTGAAAACCATACTGCCCGAAGTTCCGGTATGGTTCGCACATACACTGCATAGCTGCCACTAGCATGTACATCTAATAAAGAATTAACTCGAAGGGTTCGCGTACCGGGCAGGTCAAGAACAAGGAGTCGTACAACTCCCTGGTCAAGAACCACCTTTCCGCTTCCGTGGGACGCCACCACCCCATGATCAGGCGTCAGATGTATGTACATCTATGTGAAAAATAACTTCTCCACTACACACAAGTCAGTTCCGAAAGTTAGTTCGTGCCCCGAAAGTCAGTAATACCCACCCGAAAAAGTTAGTACGGTAGTGACCCACACGCTGCTTCAGCACCAACTTACAGCAGACATTTCTCATGTTTATTTTCGCACAACAAAAATTATGGGAAAGAAGCAAGTAGCAAAAGCAGAAAAGCATGGAGACATATACGCACGCGCACGCACGGACACACACAAACACACACAGAACTCGCACACTCACACAATCGGGACGGTAAAACACTGAATACGCCTATACCATATAGTGCACAGGACAAACCGGAAGAAAAAGAACATAACAGCAGCGCCCAACCTTTTCGGCAATGGGTCTAAAAATTTCATACCACAACTACTACTACTATCAATACTACTTACTTACTCGATTTGCATTGTATGCCTAAAACATACACAGGTGAAACGGACCAGCCAAACAGGGCACGCCGCATATGCAGCAATTATATGTGGAGGGTTGGGCGGTGTAGATAATGATGAAGATGATGATGATGATGATGAAGGGTACGTTGATGAAATCAATCTATCTATCAACGCAATATGTCATGCTCATGTACGCACATCGGTCAGGTTGAGGGACGTACCAAAGATCTTGACCAGTTGCTCCTCGTAATTGGTGAAGTTGCGCTTCATGATATCCATACATGGACCAAGGAGACGCTCAAATGCTCCAACATCCAAGCCTGCAAAAATCATCAATAGAAAGGAATCTGATTACTGTAAGAGTTGGGAGTGTGACGAGTCCAGAATTTAACGATTTGCAAAAAAATCCCCACTTAGCAGGCACAACGTTTTACTGCGTTTAACGACCCTGCCAGCACACACCTGTCTTCTACCTCTATAGCATAGAGGAGAGAAGGAATAACATACTCATAACGTCTCTTGAGTTAACGATAGATTCTAGACCTTGTGCCCCTAGAGATACAACTCTTACAGTACTGCACAGGAATGAATAGGGTGAAACGGCAGAAAACTACGAAGTCCGATTCACAAAGCGAGGAGCAGGATAAGAAAATTGGAATAAAGAAAGAGGGAGAATTATAGGACACAGCAGACAGCAGACAAGTCTAACTCCACTTACACGCTAGGGTGACATCGCCGACTGCATAAGCAGAAGCAGCACGCTCCTTTTTCGTTACCAACGCAAGTTCTACACAAAGACACAAAGGTAGGAATAAGAACAGGGTTGTATCTTTGTCGATGTGTGAAGGTCAAACTCTTGTAAAAGTAGAAGCGCAGTGAGCACACCATCAAGCTTTCCAGCGAGCCTTGCCACTATCGAGTGCTCGGAAAGAAACGTTTACATGAAGAACACAACAATTATTTCTTACATCAAAATAATTAGGGGCTGAGAAGAAGTAGCGTAGATACAGATACAGATAACGACCTTGGATATAACGACAGATTGAGTTTAGGGACACAATTCTTTTGCCCAAGTCGCTTAGGAAGGCATCTTCGTACATTTTAGATCGGGTATAACGATAGATCGGATTTAGTGACACATTTTGGTGCCCGAAGACCTGAATATGCAGCGAGTATAACGACTTCCCAGTACAATTCCGATTGTATCCGGCGGACGGGCATGCATGGAACATGTCTTTGTCACATGCGATGATCTCCGGGCCACGCGTGTTGTACACTGTACTGCAGAGCAGAAGTATGATGTGCATGTACATGCTGCAATGAATCGGCTGTCCATCGCTTGATGACTTGTATGTACGTGTACATGTACATTTTTACGACTTCCTGATGTACATGCACATCTGAAATCCATATGAAGTACGCACATGCGCATCTGCAGTCAATTCCTGGCATTTTGATATACATATTGCATACTAAGGGGTCGTCGCAAAAGTTTTCTGTCGTCCCTGAAACGAACATCGTTCATTTCGTACTTGGACCCCCTCCCTCTGAAAGGAACACAGCTTGCTATGCTGGACGACGAAAATTGCATGCATGTACATGTCATATGTACAGTGTCGGTCGACTTGCGATTTTGGCTCGCACCCCCCCCCCCCCCCCAATGAATCATGTTTGCTTCAGGGACGACAAAAAAACTTTTGCGACGACCCCTAAATGTGAAGATCGGCTTTAGTGACATTTTGTTCATTTGGGGGTTGCGCGGCTGTTCGTTTCTCAAAAATATGGATGCAAAGCTTGTATGTGCGAGCATGGCTAGAAAAAAAAGACAAGGAACAAGGGGGGTTTGAAGAGAAATGACTAGTTTTCGTGAACTCCTAATTTCACTGGACGTATGGCCTCCATGAGAATAGCACGGTACAATGCCAAACTGCACAACAACAAAATAATACATCGGCACATCAAGCCTACCTCCGAAGTATCCGCCCTTCTGTAAGTGGGCAACCTCCTTGACATCATCGTCCTGAGAAAACCAAAAACAGCAAATAGATGTGTGTGAATGAGTGTGAGTGTGTGAATGTGTGTACGTGTGTGCCACTTCAATCGGCTGTGTGGTATAGTACAGGCTAAAATTAGTGGCGATCAATTCATCAGCCTTGCAAGCTGGTGAATGCTGCAGTCCCAGCACAAGTTGCTATGTCTAACATAGCTTGTTGAAATGGAAGTGCACTGGCTCAAAATACAGTCAGGCCTCGCCCGCACACATCCGTTTTCCACACAAATATCCGCATAGGCGAGGGAACCGGATAACCGAACACCGGTTATGTTGGATGCATCACGTATGCTGTAAATCTGTAACCAGCTTTTTTCTCTTCCGGATGGCGAGGGACCCGGATAAAAGAGGACTGGATAAGCGGGGTCAGACTGTAGTATTTCTCCGAGAAGCACGTCAGGTAACATAAACATGCAGTGTAAAGCTATGCCAGCTAGGAAACAAACCTGTGACTATAGTGACTAAGTTATATGGCTGTTGCCAGCCAAATGAATATCAGTTGCGATTTAAGTAACAAAGCAGAAAGTGCGAACAATCGTGTTGACACGCACACACGCACAGACACACACGTGCGCGCACACACAGACTTCCTGTAGACGTCGTAACCTCGGCTCCTACCTTCTGCATCTTGATGGACACTTCTCCTCTCTCAACAAGGTAGAATTTATCTGCTTCCTCACCCTGCACATATGCAACAAACGAAAGAGCAAGCTTAGCCCAAACCGATGAAATCCACTCACAACTTCTACACACCCACACAAGTCCAAGAAGCAGAAACAACAAACATAGATACATGTGCTGAATAGTGAATACCAACACAAGGGCAAAGACAATCTCAACCGACAAATACTGATAAGGAAACAAGGCAACTTGCAAGCATGTTTGGAATGATTCTCAACAGTACTAAATGCCACCACAGTACTTAGGGACACGCCACCATAACCACATCTAGCTGTTGTAACCACAGCATGCAACCCAGCTGTTGAACAACAGGTTCTAGGCAGAGAGAGGGAAAGAGAGATTCTGAAAGAAAACAATTGATAGCAACAGAACAGTCGCGGCAGCGGACATATTAAATAGAATCAATACCAGAACCAACCACATACCTGTGTAATGATCGTAGCCCCATCAGAGAACTTTTCCGAGTAGAGACCATCGGCGAGAGTCATACGCTCGTAACGCTGAGAAGGACACAAGCAACACACAGACCAAACCATGAGAAATATGTTTCATACAACCGGTAGCCAATCCCAATCCTTGGCCATACACAGCTTGGAAAGTGGAGACAGGCAGGTAGAGTCTGTTGTAGTATAGAACATAAATGGACACAATGCACCACACGCCCAACCAGGGCGCTCGAGAAGATCGTCCTACTGAAGTACATGGTCACACAAATGACTAAACGCAGAGGTAGGCACGTGTAGCAACAGCATCTTTCGGTTTCCCTTACTAGCATTTGGGTAACCATGCAGTACAATGTTCCTGAGCGCCCATGCACCATGTTCCTTTGTTGGAATTGAGTTGATGGCAGGATATGCTTTCGCTCGCTCCAACATAGGCTTTCAAGAAGAGGGCGTGAAAGCCGTCAAGTCCAGGACTACTGGCTACGACAAACTTCATTTTACGGTTGTGTTGACTGCACTGGCAAGAGTGCCTGTGAGGAAGCTTAGACCGATGAATATGTTCAAGGGCATGAAAATGTGCTGAGAGGAGAATCCCCAGTGATTGTGTTATGATACCTGATCACACGCGATCATTTCGAGCATAGAGAAAAAAAGTGCCTTGAAGGCAAATCCTACCTATCGTAATTCCGCGCATGTAAGCCCATGAGCTTATATGTGAAATAATGCAACTTGGGGATAAAATATCCAGTAATGCATGTTCGTTTTTTTAGCCCATGGGCCAATATTCAAATTTTGAAGGTTCACGAAAAAGTACAAGTCCGTGGTCATAGTGGGTCTACCATACTCTACTGGTAAACTGCACTGACCTGCTGTACCATGGGAGAAAGAGTCCATATTGTGAAAAATTCTACTTGACACGCGAGTTGCATTTGATTCTACTTATTAGCCCATGGGCTTATAAACGGAGGTGGGCTTATATCCCGATATAGGCCCGTGGGCTTATATCCCGATATAGGCCCGTGGGCTTATATGCGCGGAATTACGGTATAGGACTAACTGACGATAGACAAAGAGATAGAAGCCTGTAAATTGTTACCAAAATGAACGCAGCCCACAAGACGTTACGCTCTATAATATGAGCATAAGAAATCATGTGCACCCGACACATAGCTGTACTTGGACATTAGAAGGATAGAAAGAAGTCTCAACATACCTCTAACGAAGAGAATATGGGAACAGTCTCTAAGAACTCCTCGTACATCTTGCGCTAAGCAGAAGACAGACCAGATAAGGCAAATAGCTGGGTGAGGACCAGTAGACAGACCAACACACACACACATGCACCACCACCACCACCATTCCTTGCAACCACAAGCAATGCGTAATGATACAGTGTACACATTATCAAAGCAACAGGGTTGTAAAGTGTGACATCACAACTGTTGGCAACGGAATATGCAGCCACCCGATCATCCAAAACCTTGGGAAGCAGAGCAAAGGACCTCTTAACGGTGTATTTTCGCTGGAGTCAGTTACTATTTGACAGAGTTACGGCAGTTTGGCCACTCTTCTTGGAAAGTAAAAAAGAAATGACTAGGGGTGTGGTTAAGCCCAGCACGGTACAGTCAAGCTGTCCAAAAGTAGTACAAATAATTTCATTGCAAACACTAGATGACGACAAGTAAAGCTGTGTTCACAACTGGCGCGTGTACGCGTGAAACCACGCGTTTGTGCGTATTTTTGCTGGCTTTTGGGGCGCCATGCGTACGGAAACGCGCCGAAATGGAAATTCCAACATGTTGGAAGTTTCAGCGCGTATCAGGCGCGTATCAGCGTACATGCCAGTCACTTTGACTGGGGGGGGTCAACAAATTAGTACTCGAAGGTGTCACACGCGCTAAATACGACTCGAATTGCTGTTTTTTGTGAAAGGCTGAGCGCGCGTTTGGGGGCGCATGAACCGCAAGCGTACCGCGTCCACGCGCCAGTTGTGAACACAGCTTAAGCATGACAAGTGGTAGCTGTGGTTCTACATGCTCACTCATTTGGGAGCTGGCAACTGTGTACGATGAAAAGGATGCAGGAATCGTTCGTAAACAGAACCACATCACCAACCGGTGCAAAGAGTGTGTACTTGTACTTTACAACGGAGTCTCATGATGTGCATAGTCCCCACCCACCATACCTTCTTGAAAGCCGCTACAAGCATAATCCTACGGAACGTTGCTCTGTCCAATCCCCAGATGGTGGCGTCAGTAGTAGCAACAATAGAGGCAGCACTGCAACAGCACAGACATGACACCACAAAAAGTACAGATTATGACATAACTGGAGATGTCTTTCCAATGGATCAGGCCCCGCCACAAGAACACTCTTGAAAAGATCAGCCCGACAGAATGAACAAGCACACCAGGGTACCCAGCCAAAGCAGCTTTACACATTGGCCTCCAGAGGCAAACTTCACGTGACGGTGTAAGTATACACCAGTCAACCTTGAGAAGAATGACGCCCGATTGTGCATGAGAAAAGTGTTGGTATTCGCAATGTAGAAAATATGCAGTAAAATTGTCACTAGGTCCAAAGTAGTTGCTACTGGATATCATGTAATTTTAGGTGTACCGTATATTCTCTATTATAAGCACAAGTCTCCATTACTAGCACACTGTGAGCACCTTTCGAAACATAAGCACGGTCTTGGTGGAAATCAATGCGGGATGCATGATATCTAGCATGTATTTCTTCTTGCTCTGTACGGATGTATTGGTTGAAAAAATATAAGCACGGTCTCCAATATAAGCGCGGTCTCCAATATAAGCACGGGGTAGAGGGGTTTTGAAAAAATATAAGCACGGCGCTTATAATAGAGAATATACGGTATTTTAATTTCGGTACCAGGGACCTGCCAGGTTTCAGGTGTAATGTAGAATTAGGTGACCAGCCTACCATTCATATACAGTGCATACTCTAGTGCCTTTTAGGTGTAATCCAAATTTAGGTGCCTGAATTCTCTACTGAAATTACCGAAATTAAAATTTCCCCCGAAAATAACGTGTTATACAGTATACGGTATAATACCAGAGGTCGTTATTCACGGGGTTGATTGCACCATGGTGTACTCGGACGTGGGGGACATGGCAAGGAGCAAGACACCGGCAAAACACTCCAGGCGGCATGGACACATAAACAAACATCAACACAATTCGACAGGGGTGATTGAATCCATTTGTGAACAGAATGAAGAAAGAGGGAGGACGGAAAAAAAAGTCGCAGCCGTAAACTCACCGCGGCGTATTGTACATGAGTGCGAGCTCACCAAAGCTACCCTCTTCATTGTAAGAGCCGACCTACAAGAGAAACAGAAACCGCCATCACCAAATACCAAAATCAAGGTCAGACCCACTAAAGCAGTTACCGCTGTTTGTGATGCTACATAGCCCTTCATTTCGGTGGTTCTGGTTGTTCGTTACTTCACAGGATGAGAAAGCGCAAAACTACACAGGGAAATCTTCGAATCCTAGTATTAATTAGCTCGTAGTTGGAGAGCATGAAAGTTAGCTGTAGCCCGCCTTGCTATTAAAAATGCTGCAGTAGTATTTGAGGGTACAGACAGTACGAAGAAGGAAAAGGCAGAGTTCCACCGGGTACAGGATACCGGTGTGTACATGGTGGCTCAATTATATAGCGATTTTATAAGAAAAACAAGAACAGGGTAGGCTGCGACTCTGAAACCCCCGTTCACTGGCATCAGACAGCAGTCTGGATTAAACTGCTTTTAGTTGCTGATGTGACCCACATTCCAAGATAAGGTCACCAACCATAGCTGTCCACAATGCAATATTGCATCATCACGTGGAATCCCAAGCCAAACTGCAAGTAGTTTACACCAGACAATACTGTATAAAGCGCACGATACTTGTCCAACCACAACAAACTACACACACACAGTCGTACCAAGCTACATTGTAGTGACTGTGAAAGGTGACATCACTTACATTCTTTTCATTGACGAAAATATCAAATTTTCCACTGTAAAACAAAGAAAGAACAAAATACACGTTGAGAATTGAAGAGTATACCATAAACAATGGGGATAATACGGAGGCCTAGCATGACGAATTTTACATGCAAGAACAATTTTCGGTGTCTTAAACTGGAATGCGAGTTTTCACACTTTTCGTTCAAAAAGCAGTCGGAACACGATTGGCGGATTCGTGTCAGGACAGTCATACTACCAAGTGTACATAACCCCCGAGAGTGTGCAACCGCCTGCACAACCTCTATGCTGTGCTGCGTCGGCAGAACTTCACATGACGTGACATGGTTCAAAAGGTTACGCTGGCAAACAGTGCAAAGTGACCACAAGAGAGTTAAACCCAAAGCTGGGCTGCGTACAACCCAGTATCTATCATGCACAGAGTGCACGGGTTCATCACATGATGTGAAGTTCTGCCGTCGCAGACCCCATAGCTGGAGTTGCACACTCTTGGGGTTATGTACTGTTGATATTATACATTCAAAAAATTTCAGCATAATTATATGTTTGATCTGCCCCAAGTCGCAACAAACTTCACAGAGTCCGCTACTTGGCTGTGCAATTTGGAGGTACATGCAGAGCAGCAACATAAAGTACTAAGATGTTCACATAGAGTACACACAACTAAATACCACCTACCCATCAATGACATAAAAGTTATCGCCATCGTCGCCTTGTTCAATGACCTTCTCTTCTGCAGTTACCTACATTAGCACACAAAACATCAAAGCAAATGATACATAAGGCAATAAAGCCCAAATTGAAATGTTGCAGTGAGAAATTCAAAGCGAGTACACCCGTTTTTGTGAAATAGAAGGGGGGGGGGGTTGACGCAGGAAAGTAGGGTGCGAGACGGTGGGTAGTCGGCGGAGGTCAAGATCCTGCCATACGTGAAAAGTAGAAGAGAAAACATGTAATATACAGCGTTATTCTTGCCTGCCTCCCATGAGAAGCTTTATAATTTTAACTTAAAAAATGTCACAGAAGAGTGTCCATTTTCTTGTGCAAGCGACGTGGAAACGACTTGCCAGCATAGGAAATGGCTGCAGCACTATACCTCAGAGCAGATGACCATCACTGACCTTTCGCTCAAACATGGCATCCATAACCTCACTAGTTTGCTCCTGGAGTATTAGAGAAAAGAAAGACAACACATATACTAAGCAAAAACAAATGGATCAAAGAAGCCGGCAATGCCATTGCAGTAATGGTGAAGCGAACATTGAACATTTTCTCCACGTCACTTATTTGTACACTGCACAGAAAAAGGTAGAATCTTGATGTTGGGTGCTCACATTACGAGGGCTCATCAACATCCAAACAGACTAAAGACATGGGCCTTTGGGGTCCTCCCGCGAGGCCCAGTGGACATGAAAAACGTCTCGCTTCGTTTTCTGAACATTGGTTGAAAAAAGAAACTCTCTAGAATTCTTCAGAAATAGAAAATAAATTCATTTGACACACTAGGGCCACATTAAAAATTACAGTGACGGGCGTAACACATCACATACTGCAATAAAGTGCAAGAGGTAAGGCTGCATTCGATTGTGGAAACTGGATCCCGATCCCCGCCGATCAGATCACTTCGATCAGACGGATACAATCGAATGTGCACAACCGATAATCTGTTTCAAGGCCTTAGCAACCTCGTTGCTACAGCTCATCCCGTAGTATCTGTACGCATTCTGGTGAACTCTTGACCTAGTGTACCACTGGTGTACGCATATTGGGAGTTTTGAGTAGATACGAGTCGTACCATGGAAATGAATCCGTCGAATACGTCTCTGGAAGGTGGGTTGACTGGATCCGAATCCGTGCTCTCGGGATCCGGATTCGTACAATCGAACATGTACAAAATTTGGCGAATCCGGGTTCGGGGCTGATGGATTCGTACAATCGAACATGCCCTAAGTAACTTATCATCGGCGATTCATCGCTCACTCTCTGCTACCAGACACCGGATGCCTCAGTGAGACTTGGCTCTACCCGCCATCACCATTTCTTATCAGGGGTACATGTACACGTGTCTTCAGCGGGACCGGCCACGAATTGCAAATCAACAGTGCAGTCATGGTTACTCTGGTAGCATCGCCGTTCTAGCTCGGACACACACGTTCTCGGTGATATAGGAGAGTGCAGATCCGAGTACACAACTGCTGAATCTGTCTAGGTTGAGCTCCGATGACCAGACCTCTCCGACCCCTAACTGTCTGCGCCGCATATCGACAACCCACTTCTTCCATCACTGCCGTCATTGTGGGCCGTGACGGGATGGAGAATGCACTGCAGGCCATGCCCATCAACTCCGCCCAGCCAATTGTCACACAGGAGATCTACACCGCTAATCATGGACACTAGTGCTCATCCGACCCAACATCCCTATCTGGTGCCCATCTCTGTTTCCTCCTGCTTTGGCTTAGATCAAGTCGTAAATAATTGTCTAGCCCACACCAGTCTCCATGGCTTGTCATGTATCGACCTGGTCACCACAAATTCATCCTAGTGTGTAACGTCTGCGGAGACCCTGCTGAACACTTCGCAGAAGATAATACAGGGATCTATTCTTCCTCTGCTTTATGTCTGTTGACTCGACACCGACAACTTTGGAATACATTGAATAAAACAGAAAGTGAGAAATCGTGGATTCAGGACAGAAATTGTACAAAATAAAAATAATAAAATGTAAGGGCAGAGTTCAGCAACGACGATCAGCACAGTGGCATTAGCAAAACAACACAAGGGATTAACAAATCTGACTGACTGATCACAGACTGAAAGCTCCATACCATGTCAAGACGTTTGAAGAGGAACAACCTCTTGAGCGCATTCTGAAGGCGAGTACGCTGTTCATCTGTCTTGGGGTTGACAACCTACAAACACCGAAAAGTATTTACAGCATATCTGAGGTTAAACATAAAAGCTGTGCACTGAGGGCACGAACATTCCTGACCTTTGGTGTGTCCTCGTCTTCAACAGCGTTAGGGTTGAAAGGCTCAGCGCAAACTGTACACGAATGAGAATCGGCAGCAAACAGTTCAACGACTCAGTGAATACGTAATGGCAAGACACAAAATCACACAGGTGCGTCGCCAAAAGTAATCAGAGGATAATGACTGCAAGAGGCTAAACGTGGAACAGAACACAACAAGCAAGACAGCTCAGCTGTACCTGACTGACGACGGCCTCTAGCCGAGGGAGGGGGGCCTGAAATATCCTCTGGAGAGCCACATTGGAGATACAAAGAGAGACAAAAACACAAACGAATGATTCTTCATTCCGGCAGAAAATTCCACAGCATGGGAAGCTGGACAGGGTGGCAGCTGATGGGGCAAACGGAAGATGCTGCTCATAAAGGCTTAACTCCAACCGGAGTCTCATGCTAAATACCAAGTTTATCAGCAGCTCGCTTCTGGAACCCGAAGCCTCAAGGTGAACAAAGAATGCAGATGGGAGTTGTGGACAAAGGTTCAGAACCGGGGGTTAGCAACGAGCGTGTCGGCAAAGGATGGGTAAAGTGACAAGCTAAAGTAAAATTTCAGCACCAATATATCCCTGTGAAAGCCTAACCTTCGTCAGACATCGTTGTACTTGTCCCCGGGTTCAGCAAAGAGAAAAGAGGAAGAAGGACTCGCACAAATTCTGAAGAACTTGTGCTTGAACACAACAGAGAACAGAGTCCTGAGTAGGGTGCAGGAGGCACAGTACTTGTAGAAAGGTATGACCGTTCGCCGTTTGATCACTGCTTTGATCAGCTTGCTCACACTCAAAAAATACCGAACAGATCACACGGTCGGTGATCGTGAACGAACTGATCCCCCAAATGCAAAGCCCCTGCAAGTCCAGTGAGTACCGAGTCGCGAGTGTTCAGTCGACTACGGACTAGTCCAGGCCAGGGATGCAGAGATTGTGCATTATGATCAGTGCTCGATCGGCAGTACTCGTAGAATCAAGACTACAAAAGAGTGGGGGTTTATGAACTCTTGGTAGAATCCATAAAAACGCCCCCGGACTGGGCCTTGAGCCTCGCACTCTTGTCTAGTCTTGACGTGCAAAGCAATGCAAACGTAACGTTTGAACGTTCACGCGAGCCCGGATCATGACGTCAAAAATATTTTCAACGACAAACGTACACTGGTACTGTACACCACTGGTACACGCATGCATGCAACTCCAAAAGTCACGTCAGAGCTTGAGCGCGTACTCGTACATGACGTGGAATGTCATGCGTGCATCGCATAATGTGCATACATGTATCACGGCTGTCAAGAAGCGGCAACTTAGAAAGATGGCGTCGGTTCGAGATGGCATGGTAACCGCGCACGTGCCGTGGTTCGTGACTTGCTCATGTATGCACGCAAATGCAAGTCACAAACTCACGAAGATCGTCTTTGCATTTGGGGAAAATAATATCTTCGACTCTCTTTGGAGGTTGGCGAGGTTTGCCTAATCTTTACTTGATTGCGATGCCGGTATGTCCCCTCAATAATTAGAACAAAGAGAGCTGATGATCGCTTCATTGCTGAGCAGAAGTAACAATCAACTCTCCTCATGTCCTCAGTGCCAAAGGCAGACGACTGCAATTCCACAACGCTCATTTCACGATGATGGAAACAATCGTGTACTAGTACGACACTTGGACCGTTTGGTCATCCCTGTTCTAGCCGCTAGTCCGTCCAGCAAGCAGATATTGACTATTACGATAAGGACACCTGCGTGGACGAGGGCTCGCCCAGCAAATTCAATTCAAGACGTGACTCCAGTCAAGAATTAGGGTCTTTACTCGAGAACTTCACAAATACAGGTCAAGGCACCCCACAAAACTGATAGATGGCACGAACGAAAGACAAATAGGCTAGAAAAAGTGTCCCAAGTGATTGAAAACAGCAGATCTACCAAATAAGACAGCTACATGTGCCTAAACAACGATTCCCATACAGTAGAGAGTAGTATCAGGCAGAATGAAAGCCTTGGAAGTGCACAAATACAGCCACGACCGCCACAAAAATTGGACGACCGCCACAAAAAAATTCTCATTGCTCTACCTCCTTGAAGGGTGAAAGTTACCAGTTATCCTATAGCGATGTCAGTTTATGCCTGTTTGTAGTTGGAACCCCCCACAGCCTGCACGAAATACCTTTCAAATAATTCCAGGATGCAATTGCAGCTCCAGACAGGAGGAAGAAGAACACCGTGAAAAATAACGGCAACGATGCCCAAACTCTCGGGAAACGGCTGAAGTCTTCCTGAAGATGTTAACCCTTTAAGAGCCACAGGAAAATTTCAATATTCTGCATTTTTTCGTGTTCCTTGGATTATAGCTTCAGTTCTACTCACTCAATTCTCACAATCTAGGGCTTCTTGGAAAGGTCTCCGCGAGAGGAAGAGAATGAGGTCGATCATGATACCCAGCACACCGTCTATCCAGCGCTAGATCGCAGCGACAGTACGAAAAATGCCCCAAATGCGTCCAATTGCGTCCCGCTCCAGATATTTCATTTCACTCGATCGTGGAGTTCCAATTTTTTCGCTGTGTACTCTTGACAATATCAACAGTGAAACCCGTGCAAATTAAAGCAAACCAGCGTGACGAAAAGTCTCAAAATTCTCAATACTAAAGTCGAACTGCGCGCTTTTGAAATTGCCCCGATCGCGGCTCAACTTACAAGTGATTTATCTCAGGAACCGTAGCTCGCAGCGCTTCGCGGATTGTTTCTCCCGACAGGTGAGAGTTTTCTCTTTGCCCTGGATATTTTGATCACTGGATTTGAGCGAGATTGGACTGAGTTACGATCTTTTGAAGTTTTGCATTTGAATGCGTCGTTTACGACGCATTCAAGTATGGGCGGCTCTTAAAGGGTTAACATTGAATAGCCATCGATTACCAGCGTGGTTTGGTGACTTTAGAACTGTTTTGAGACTTAGAACGAAGCGATATCTCAAATTTGATGGAATTGTTACCTGTCAAATGCGTGGGCGAGCAGGCCAGCTGACTGGTTATGCATGAACATGCATGAGCATGCATTGATTTTTCATGGTTCACGTGCAGAAAACTAAGTTGCCGCGATCCAAGTGCAGCTAACAGCCGTGGTATACGTATATGCATAGTCGGTTCTGTTTTGTGAATTTTTGAAAATCCAATCATCATGCGCATATGCATGCGCATCATGTCATTGTATTTTCAAGACTTTCAAATTCAAGATGCGAAAAGACTTCGTCGGGACAGTACTAGTTCATGGTGATGTTTCTTGGTCAACAATAAGTAAGTAATAGTTGCCTCAACTTGTTCCAGCTGTTCAGAGTTACTAGTGATTTCTGCGTTTGATTAGAGAGCAGTTGCCACCATGGATCGATCGGCTTCGGTGACAAAGGAATATTCGGTGAAGCTGACTTGCGATCAGTCTACCCGAAGTCACATTATGCGATTCCCCATGCCTGGTGGGTTGGACGTCACAAAATTGGAAAATCCTCGACTGGAGCGACAGTTACCTGTTGGTGTTGTCCAGGAGGAAACAGCACCAGAGTACGGTGCTGGTAGTGAATATGGAAAGAAGCAGCGAGAAGAAGCGCGGAGGCGCAAACGAGGCATTTTCCGCAAACCCCAATCTGCTGATGACTTCCCCTGGCTGTTGAGAAGTGGGAAGAAGAAGGATAAGAGTAAATATACTGGTCGTAAAGAGGGGGGTGTTCAGCAGTCTGCCTCCTATTATCTGTTCCGAGAGGTAGACGGTGACACGTTTGAGGCTGTACCTGTCCATAGCTGGTACAATTTCACGCCGAATGTTAGTTATGACACTTTATCAGTGGAAGAGGCCGAGGAACAGTTTGAGAAGCGACACAAGACACTAAATCACTTTGCTGTTATGATGCAGAAGCGCATGCAAGACACAGCTGATGGTGAAGACACGAAAACCGTCAGTGAACCGTCTGCTCCTGCTGCAGGCAGTGGCCGCAACGTGAAAACACTCATGGGAGATGGCTTGCAGGTGCGTGAGGATGAAGATTGGGCGAACTCTGACTCCGACTCCGAAGGCTCCGGTGCTGAGGGTGAGACAAGAGCCAGAAAGCCAAAGGCGAAAGGCAAAGGCAAGAAGAAGAAGAAGGATGATGGCAGCGAGGAGTCTGAAGAGGGTGACGAAGACTCTGACGATGCCGATCTCAAGCAGTCCAAGGAGGTTGACTACATGTCTGATACTTCTTCTGATGATGATGATGAAGCGGCAGATGCGGATTCAGAGCCGAAGGTGGCTAAAAAAAAGGAACAGGTAGGTGGAGCAAGCTTTGTTGGAAATTCGCTTTATCACCCGTCACCGCTCACCTTTGAATAGCTGCCCGCTTTCTATCTCTTGAGTTCTCTCCCACGTATCGCTGGCCTTTAGAGGCGATCTACACGACGGCAGGATTCATCCCGTGCGTGATGCTGCGGTGGAGATTCAGTCACATGAACTCAAATGTTGGCGCCAACGAATCCCGCTGGCTATCCCGGTGCCATAGGGGGGGGGGGGGGCATTCCGTGGACTGTTATGTACTACAGGTACTGTACGTGCATCATGCCGTGTGAATCGATTTTTTCGTCTTTCCCACGTCACGGCAAGCTCTCGGGATCACTTCCCAGCAGGATACACTGCCGTTGGTAGCGGTAGAGTATCTCTGGCCATAAGCGAGGGTCCCTGGAATGAGTCCTGGTTGGTGACGGTCTATTTTTCTCCAGATTTTCCTGTTTCATCTCCCTCAAATTACCGGTATGAACAACTCAGCATCGACTTCTAATAATATATAAATTATACTGATCAGAATGATAGATCACCTGCATATGAAGACAAACATGGTCACATGATGTACTGAACCTGGATATGGGACCAACAAGCGAAGGGGACCACTTTTGCCAGTCCCTTGAGTGGTCGGCTTAGACATGTTTTCTGTAGACTGGAGATCCAGTATACATGTATGCATACTGGCCAACCCTCCCGGTTTTCCCGGAAAAATCTCGGGAAAACCACACTACTCCCGGGGTCCCGGGGATTTCAAGCAAACTCCAGGAAAAGTCACAGTTTTGTCTGATACTAGTACAGGATTTTCCTGAAACTCCATGGATTCTCTTCGAATGTCCCGTTTTTTTTCTTCAAAAATATGTACGGTGCCCACTCACACTTCGAACTGTGCATGGCACTTTCAAGATCTGAACAGCCTAGGCTGCAAGATCTGCACTGACAGGCGGGCGCCGACTGATCGAACTGCACTGCAGCCTGTGAAGGGTCGAACTGTGCTGTACGAGTACGCTGATCTGCAAACGTCGAACGTTGTTTTGGCGGGAAAGGCTCTTTTTCACTTGTTTTTGTGCCATCCAGGGATTTTGAGAGAAATCCAGGGATTCTGCATATCTTGTCAAGGGATTGAGATTTTGGCGGCTGGTCAGTATGTGTATAGATGTAGCCAGTGCCCGTACTTTAATAAAAGTGCAAAGGCTTCAGACTTGCTATGTGCCACCTGGTACTCCGGTCATATTAATTTTGTTCTTCTTTGTGTTTTTTTGTGTTTGTTTTTCCTTGCTGTCAGGACGAAGAGGACTCTGAATCTCACAGTGAGGTTGGAAGTGATGAGGATGATAGTAGTGAAGATGACCTTACCAAGAGTGGACGTGAAACTAAGAAGCTGCTGAGTAAAACCCAGGGGACAGATGGCAGCTCTGAGGAAGAGGAGGAAGACGAGGAAGACTATGATGATCAGCTTGCAAAGAAGATTGGAGCGGTATGTCCACTGTGTATTGTTAGGCTGCCTCTTCGGATGAGCGCTGCTTGTTGTCCAATCCAACCGACCATTCTAGGAATCAGTCTAGGAAGTACTAGGACCGTAAAGTACCGCGAGAGCGCCCTGCCACATGGACCTCTCCAAGGTCTTGGATTTGGGGCAAATGAGAGAGTCCTAAGTATGTAATTTAAACTTATTTTCGCATTGTATGTGGTGCAGTCAACCCGTACTCATTCCACCTTCGAGTTGCAATCAGGTCCACACGAGCAGTGAGCTGGTACAGGGCCATGTTTGACCCTAGTGTACTCCGTTCTTCCATTGGATGACCTTCGTCACACTGGGCCATAGGATTTTCCTTTCCCTGGCTATAAATGAAGGTGGGTCGCTCTGGTGGTACTTTACGGTAATATTACTCAGTTGGGGGGGGGGGGGGGGGGAAGCTGGCCCTAGCGCCGGAGATATACAAGTCGAATGCTGTGCATGGAGCATAGGACTCTCACGATATGTACTGAAGTAGCATTATGGACACATTAGGAAGCATGAGTAGGAAACTCCTGCCTGTCACATGTCCAGAAAATCGGTTGCAGTTCGACCATTTGGGGTTATGTTACTTATGTTAGGCGAGACCAAAATAAAATCGAGATTCCCGGGCAGGACCCATGTGAAATTGGTGCGGGCGGGCGAATTTTATTTTTTATTTTTTTCCCATGTATGTACATGACTATAATATGTGTGCATGCCATGTTGAACTTTTTTTACAGCATTTTCCGGTAATTTTATTCAATTTTTTTACAGACAACAGGTACGCTGTTTACCCGTTTAATTTTTCTATATTTCAGCCAACGATGGCCCTGATCTGTACATCAGGGAGTCATACAAGCTCGGGTTTGTGTGACTCCACGTCACAGATCTACTCACATGATCAGTATTGTACGTGTATGAACTGTTCCAAAAAAAATTGGCTTTGGCTTGATTTTGGTGCGGGAGGGCCCGGGAATCTCTATTTTTTTTTGGTCTCGCCTTACGTACAACTTCGGTATTCTTAGTTCAGCTTCCTCATTTTTGTCGTTGTTGCTGTGTCTGGCTTTCTTTTCTTCAGCCGAAAGGTGGCTCTAAGGGAGTAAAGGGCGGCAGAGACTCTCCCCGACCATCATCCCTCAACTCCACACCCGTGCCCTCACCGGCAGCTGCAGAGAGACGGGGCAAGGCTCCATCAAAAGGAAAGAGCAAGGCCAATGCTGGTGGCGGTGACGAGCCTGCAGCCAAGAAAAAGAAGTCTGCCGGTGTGTCTGCCAATACCAGCTTAGCTGCGGCCTCGGCTGTCAGTGCTGCTGCGGCAGTGTCCGCTGCAGTTGCTGCACAATCAAAGGGTGGCAAAGATGAAGTCACCGAGGAAGCAGTAAGGCGCTATCTGTCTCGCAAGCCCATGACGACCAAAGACCTTCTGAAGAAGTTCAAGGGCAAGACCGATATGGATGGGGAGCGGCTGGTTATGGTGCTGGGTGAAATCCTGCGGAAAATCAATCCAGATCGTGAAAAGGTACGCGACAAAACCCTCCTGTCCATCAAATCGAAATGAATGCTGTTAGCAGGAGCAACAGCAACAACAACAGCAGTAAGTGCCACAAGCCCAAAAGATCGACCTGTATGTATATATGTTGTGGTTTGCTTTCTTTGTACATGTTCCTGTACATAATTCTATTGATTGTATCATGGATCAATTTAGAACAATTGTTTTTCTTTTGTTTTCCTGTACATAGGGATTGTTCCCTGTACCCACATGACACCCATATCTATGGTCCAATAGTTGTACATATTTGCGCATTGTTTTTCAAGTTGTGTATGGTTCCTCTGACTTGCTGATTTATAAGTTATTGTCAATTTGTCAGACCAGCAAGCTTTCAGTCGAAAATCTGTAGTTCCCTTTTGCGCCTTTCTTATCCAAGTTTCACCATTGACCTTCCGTTTTTATGCCGTGTTTTCAAATTTTGAATTTCGTTCTATCCTTCAACAGATGTAGAGCTGGCTTCCTCTGTTTTGAAACTGCATTGCAGTGATATTCCCATTCGACCCGAGGTCCTTGAGGAATGTGATGATGATTGGCATGGATCAAGCTCAGTTGCGCGTAGCAACCGTACCAGCCACTGTCCTTGAAATAGTGCTGATATCAGTAGTTTTTTAAAATGCATTCAATATTACATGAACATGCTGTTGGTGTTGTTGCGATTTTAATGGGTGTTTGAGTTGCTCGATACTGTCTATTCCACCATGGGTTTGCATGCTAGTATGATTGTGAAATGTCACTGCTCTGCCATGCCCTCTTCGCAATACAATGAAGCAACAGGTTTCTTTATGGTTTCACTTCAATCTTCTCCTTTTGAAAGTACAGTCGAATGTCACTTATCCGGACGCCAGTTATCCGACAAGCCCGGGAGTGGTAATTTTATAATTCTCAACAGTAAAATTCTAAAAAATAAATAAAAACAAACTTTTTTTGTATATTATACGGTGTAATATGCATATTCTTGAAGTAGATGTGGTCAAGTATGCTACCATGTATGTGTGCATGGAATATGCATGAATATATTTGGGTATTGTGTACATAAATCAGTGAAATCCAGTCATATATGCACATAACAAATGATATCAGTTATCCAACATATTCAGTTATCCAACATGCCTGATTCCCGAAGTGGTCGGATAAGTGACATTCGACTGTATATGGATGTCAAATGAATCTTGGGGAGCTGTTGTACCCTCCGATTATTGATTGACACCAGGGAGTCTTGAAAACCCCGCTCCCTGATTGACACCTACAGCATGTGTGCAATGTTACATGACTCATCCGGCTTCGTACACCTACATAGCTGTACACCAATAGCCCTTTGAATGTCTGTTTTCCGAAAACCTCGGGGATCGAACACCGCAGTCCCTGTTTGGACAAGCTAATGAATAATTTAAATAAGTATCCCAGTAATTAAGAATAAAAATAATTGTATGCATGAAATTGGCACTGCACCGTTGCACGCACTCTGTACGGGCAAGATTGAAATTGTGACATACAGATAGCGAGAGCCAATCACTATGATATCGGGTCTACATGTACACTCTGAGATTCGGTTGATCAACGTGTTTGGACGACTTGGATGCGCGAGTGATCAACATTCCGATAAGTGGCGCCCGACCGTGCATATCTACAACTACAAGTCGTTATCATGTAAGGAAGAGCACAGTTTCACAATCCATTCGTTCATATGATATAGTTTACAATCATCTCAAAAGTGGAGATACATGTGCAGTCATGCGCTCACTGAAATCCAGTCACGTCACTCAAGTTTGCGCTTTGCACCATTTCGCAGCTCTAGCCTAGTCTAGGGCTGCGCAACACCCGCGGTGCGTACTTGAGTGACACGACTGGATTTCATTGAGCAGCACTGTACCTGGCAGTCAAGGAAGGTAAATCGCACACCCCTCAAACACCGACACACAATTGGCATAATTATGATAGGCTAGCATTGCCTCAGTCAGCCAGAACATTTTACAAGAACAAGAAAAATAGACAGTCGACAAAAAATAGAGTAAAATATACAAAACAAAAAGGTGCCAAAATCGATGCAAAGCTCGTCCACCGAAATAAAACAAGGTCAACTAATTAAATTTCATGAGTGTCTTGTGTTCACAATAAAACACTGCGACCGCTTTCGGCCATATTTCGGCATGGTGGTGACAGGTGGAGGGTGAAGTTTCATGAGCGTTAACATAAGAATTTGGTTACTACGTTGAAGTGCAAAATAAGTGAATAAAAACAAAACAAATAAAATAAATAAATAAATTATCGTGTCTGTTCCCGAAGGGAACTCACGACGGCCGCTAACACTCGGTAAACCCTATAAAACAAAACGTACCCGGCAAAGATAATGGCTTTGAATCTCTCAACACGCTTGAGGAGTGAAACTCGGAACCAGAAAAAACGAAAAGAGAAGAAGAGCAATGGCATGGCTAAAAGCTCTTCTGTTCAGCAACCTACATTGGACGCCTGGTTTTCTCCATGTCTTCGATCAGGTTGATCAGGCGATTCTTCGCTTTCTTGTTGATGTGTGCACCAACACCACATTGCACCAAGCTCGTCAACTGCTTGGTGGAGTACATGCGATGATCACGCAGCCAAGGCTCAATATCCGCCTCGGACATGTAGAAAGCCTTGATGTACGTATCCACAAACTCGCGCTCAGGAATTGGCCGAAGTGTCAGCAGCTTCTCAATCTGGATGATGAACTGCTGGAAGTCGAGCTGCATCAGCGCTCGGCCTTCATTGCTGCACTTCTTGGCGCTGGCAAAGCCCTCGACGAAGGTGTGATTAATGGTGTGTAGGATGTGTGCCCACACTACGTTCAGAACTACCTTGGGCATTGGTGTGATGCTGTTCCACTCGTCGACACGCCGCTTCAACACCTGACACTCTGCCAAGATGTAGTCGATGTAGTGGCTGTGCTGAGACATAATATCCCTGATGTCCCACTTGACTGACAACATTTGCTGCAGCAAGCGGCCCGTATCCAGCATCTTGTCAGCCACACCACAATAGACGGGTTGTCGCAGCTCAGGGACAATGCTCACCGTCTGGGAGTGAAACTGCGAGAGGAATGCACGTTTCGACTGCGGTACAAATACTTCCAGGTGAGGCAAAAGACTTTCGAACTGCGATGCCAGGAACACTAGCGATTCGACGGCCGTCATTCGGCGAGTTAGGCCATACAGCGAGGAGAGCTGATCCAGGGGAATCATAGTGGACAGAGCCGGCGCTTGCACTCGAATCTCATCTGTCACACTGCTCGGAGGAACACCTGCTGAATCCATGTGAAGGATCAGGTTGTTCTCAATGCGCTTCAGTGTGGTTTTCATCTTGCTGCTCAGGCTAAGAGGCCCGCTGTCAGCCACAGCCACATCTCTGGCGAAGAAAGAATGCACAGCATACATGTAGTAGTCAAACAGCTGGGACAAGAAAATCATCACGTCGTATGCGATCGGCTTCAGCACATCCATCATGCACATGTACTTGCCAAATAGGCGCATCACACCTAGCGTTGTGTTGGTACAGATGGGTCCTTCCATAGCCTCCTCAATTTTGCAATGGCCAGGTTGGGGACGCTTGCTTTTCTTCGTTGGCGCGTGGTGATCACCCTCGTCCACAAAGTCACGTTTCAACTCCTCGGGCTCGTCATCACTTGCTAGACGCCGAGTGGCCCTGGGCGAATTCTCATCAGCCACTACCAGAGGCTCTTCTGCAACATCTTCCTCGTCCGTATCATCAAACGGATTGCCATGTTGGGAACATCGCATGAAAAACCCGTCGGTCAGGTTCCGGATTTTGCTTGTCGGACTCAGCGTGGAGCTAGAGCGCAGAAAGCTAAACTCCTTCAAAGAATAGATGGTGAAGGAGGCACGCATGGGCCACGCATCCCACATCTCATTCTCCAGGAACATACGCAGCTCATCCATGCGAACGCTATGAAACGACTTGAAGTAGTTCAAGCTTTGCAAGCGCACGCTATCTTGAAGGTCAGCAGACTTGTCGCCGCACACCTCCTCACCGACAGATATCAGGCGATTTGTCACGTTCAGCACCGCGATGAAGTTGTCAAACTGGAAGCTAGACAGATCCGTTCCCAGCAGATAAGGCTTCACGCGCTGTTTCACGTCCTGCCAGATCTTCGTCTTGCCATGCTCTAGCTTCTCATTGATATCGGAGCGATTGTACTGCAGCTCAGCATCGTTGCGCAGTGCTTCGTCTTCATCCATCATCTTGTCCTGTCGCTCATGCCATTTCACTGTGCGATGGTAGCAATGCAGAACTTCCCACAGACTCTTGCGCAGGTCAATCAGGCATGGCACAAAGTACTTGCTGTCCATCTTCGAGCACAGATCCTTGTACGGCAGGCGGTTCAATGGGCCGCTCTTTGCATCGTGTCGGCACCGCTCAGCAAACTGAAGTACAATGGAAAATGAACGGTTGTGCAGGGTCTGCGTGTAGTGCATCAGCAACTGATCCATGGCCATCTGCGACTTGCTGAGAAGCCGGTATGCCGTCTGAACACGATCATAGCGATGCACATCGAATGCAGTGCAGGATTGCGCCAAGACACGGTCCAGTTGATCTTCACTCGACTTGCGTATCCTGCAGCTTCGAGCCCAGCTCACTGACACAGTGGTACTTCTTGTAGCTTTTGACAGCTTGCTGACATTCCAAGCACAGCTGAATTGCTGCAGGATAGTCTTCCTGTTCCAACATTTCCTGAGTACGAATATCAGTTCTTTGGAGGGTCTTGATGGTCCGTAAGGTGCGCATGATTTGTTGGATTTTCAATCGTTTGCGATGATTCGACAACACTCCAAGACCACCTTTGGTTACATCCTTCTTGGACTGGGCGAGCTGCCTCCTGCCATTAAGACACACCATGGTGGCCATCTGCAGAGCATTCTGAATGTCAGTGACCCTTTGGAGCTCCTCAACATATGATGCATGATTTTCTAAAACCAAATCTGACAATTTCTTGCTAACTGCATCCAGTTCCTGCCGTAGCTTGAGTACTTGTTCAAGCAGTGCTTGAGAATTTAGCTCATCAGGTAGCTTGTCGAGGAGGTTTGGAGCCATTTCTCCTCATCATGTCAGTGAACACATTATTATTAAATTTTATTAGACACCCGATCCGGATAAACGAGGACCGGATAAGCGAGGTCTGACTGTACTGAATCATGGCACAGGACACGGATACCGGATATGAACAAGAGTTTATGAACTCTTGATATGAATCATCAAGAGTATGGAATTCATGTAAATGATGTACACTTGGAATCATGCATGCGCCGTTGTACATGACAGTGCACTGGTACATGGTAACAAAATAGTCACAATGGTGTACACATACAGCAAGAGTACATAACCCCTGGGGCATGGGGGGTTATGTACTCTTGCATAACAGCCATCTCAAATGTGAACATGTTGGCAGTCAAGGAAGGTGATTCGCACAAACCTCTAAAACTTACGCACAATTGGCAAAGAAATAATAGCACATGTAATGACTCACAGTCAGCCAGCATATTTCACAGCAACAAAATATACAATGGAGAAAAGTAAAGTAAAAAGTACACTAAAGGTTCCAAAATTGATGCAAAGCTCGTCCACCGAAACTAAACAAAAGGTCAATTAATAAAATTTCATGAGTGTTATCATACGAATTTGGTTACTACATGTACTTTGATGTGCAAAATAAGTGATAAAAACAAAACATACCCGGCAAAGATAATGGCTTTGAACTAATTTCTCAACACACTGGAGGAGTGAAACTCGGAACACCGAAAAAAAAGAAAAAGAAGAGTAATGGCATGGCTAAAAGCTCTTCTGTTCAGCAACCTACATTGGACGCCTGGTCTTCTCCATGTCTTCGATCAGGTTGATCAGGCGATTTTTCGCTTTCTTGTTGATGTGTGCACCAACACCACATTGCACCAAGCTCGTCAGCTGCTTGGTGGAGTACATGCGATGATCACGCAGCCAAGGCTCAATATCCGCCTCGGACATGTAGAACGCCTTGATGTACGTATCCACAAACTCGCGCTCAGGAATTGGCCGAAGTGTCAGCAGCTTCTCAATCTGGATGATGAACTGCTGGAAGTCGAGCTGCATCAGCGCTCGGCCTTCATTGCTGCACTTCTTGGCGCTGGCAAAGCCCTCGACGAAGGTGTGATTAATGGTGTGTAGGATGTGTGCCCACACCACGTTCAGAACTACCTTGGGCATTGGTGTGATGCTGTTCCACTCGTCGACACGCCGCTTCAACACCTGACACTCTGTCAAGATGTAGTCGATGTAGTGGCTGTGCTGAGACATAATATCCCTGATGTCCCACTTGACTGACGACATTTGCTGCAGCAAGCGGCCTGTATCTAGCATCTTGTCGGCCACACCACAATAGACGGGTTGTCGCAGCTCAGGGACAATGCTCACCGTCTGGGAGTGAAACTGCGAGAGGAATGCACGTTTCGACTGCGGTACAAATACTTCCAGGTGAGGCAAAAGACTTTCGAACTGCGATGCCAGGAACACCAGCGATTCGACGGCCGTCATTCGGCGAGTTAGGCCATACAGCGAGGAGAGCTGATCCAGGGGAATCATAGTGGACAGAGCCGGCGCTTGCACTCGAATCTCATCTGTCACACTGCTCAGAGGCACACCTGCTGAATCCATGTGAAGGATCAGGTTGTTCTCAATGCGCTTCAGTGTGGTTTTCATCTTGCTGCTCAGGCTAAGAGGCCCGCTGTCAGCCACAGCCACATCTCTGGCGAAGAAAGAATGTACAGCATACATGTAGTAGTCGAACAGCTGGGACAAAAAGATCATCACGTCGTATGCGATCGGCTTCAGTACATCCATCATGCGCATGTACTTGCCAAATAGGCGCATCACACCTAGCGTTGTGTTGGTGCAGATGGGTCCTTCCATAGCCTCCTCAACTTTGCCATGGCCAGGTTGGGGACGCTTGCTTTTCTTCGTTGGCGCGTGGTGATCACCCTCGTCCACAAAGTCACGTTTCAGCTCCTCGGGCTCGTCATCATCTTCGTCGTCATCACCTGCTAGGCGTCGAGTGGCCCTCGGGGAATTCTCATCAGCCACTACAAGAGGCTCTTCTGCAACATCTTCCTCGTCAGCATCATCAAACGGATTGCCATGTTGGGAAAATCGCATGAAAAACCCGTCGGTCAGGTTCCGGATCTTGGTTGTCGGACTCAGCGTTGAGCTAGAGCGCAGAAAGCTAAACTCCTTCAAAGAATAGATGGTGAAGGAGGCACGGACAGGCCACACATCCCACATCTCATTCTCCAGGAACATACGCAGCTCATCCATGCGAACGCGATGAAACGACTTGAAGTAGTTCAAGCTTTGCAGGCGCACGCTATCTTGAAGGTCAGCAGACTTGTCGCCGCACACCTCCTCACCGACAGATATCAGGCGATTTGTCACGTTCAGCACCGCGATGAAGTTGTCAAACTGGAAGCTAGACAGATCCGTTCCCAGCAGATAAGGCTTCACGCGCTGTTTCACGTCCTGCCAGATCTTCGTCTTGCCATGCTCCAGCTTCTTATTGATATAGGAGCGGTTGTACTGCAGCTCAGCATCGTTGCGCAGTGCTTCGTCTTCATCCATCATCTTGTCCTGTCGCTCATGCCATTTCACTGTGCGATGGTAGCAATGCAGAACTTCCCACAGACTCTTGCACAGCTCAATCAGGCATGGCACAAAGTACTTGCTGTCCATCTTCGAGCACAGATCCTTGTACGGCAGGCGGTTGAGTGGGCCGCTCTTTGCATCGTGTCGGCACCGCTCAGCAAACTGAAGTACAATGGAAAATGAACGGTTGTGCAGGGTCTGCGTGTAGTGCATCAGCAACTGGTCCATGGCCATCTGTGACTTGCTGAGAAGCCGGTATGCCGTCTGAACACGATCATAGCGATGCGCATCAAATGCTGTGCAAGATTGCGCCAAGACACGGTCCAGTTGATCTTCAATCTCGACTTGTGTATCCTGGAGCTTCGAGCCCAGCTCACTGACACAGTGGTACTTCTTGTAGCTTTTGATAGCTTGCTGACATTCCAAGCACAGCTGGATTGCTGCGGGATAGTCTTCTTCTTCCAACATTTCCTGAGTACGAATATCCGTTCTTTGGAGGGTCTTGATGGTCCGTAAGGTGCGCATGATTTGTTGGATTTTCAATCGTTTGCGATGATTCGACAACACTCCAAGACCACCTTTGGTTACATCCTTCTTGGACTGGGCGAGCTGCCTCCTGCCATTAAGACACACCATGGTGGCCATCTGCAGAGCATTCTGAATGTCAGTGACCCTTTGGAGCTCCTCAACATATGATGCATGGTTTTCTAAAACCAAATCTGACAATTTCTTGCTAACTGCATCCAGTTCCTGCCGTAGCTTGAGTACTTGTTCAAGCAGTGCTTGAGAATTTAGCTCATCAGGTAGCTTGTCAAGGACATACTGGTTAGGATCCATTTCCTCATCAGTCATGTATGCCTGATCCATGCCGTTCAGGATTTCCTCGATCTCCACTGGGTTCTCCCTAATGTCCTCTCTCTCCTTACTTTCAATCGGCAGGGACGGGGCTTCCACGCCACCCTCCTCATCCTTTTCCTTGGTGAGAAAGGATGGGAGAAATTTGAACCTCCCTAGAGCCATGATGGTGGCGTTTTTCTCTAAACAACACACATGATGATGATGGTGATTTCGAACTGAAAATTCTCAACAAACATTATTCAGCTGACATTCCAAAAATCGTCAACAAACGAACACGGAACAGCCCGTTCCAGGTTCGTACAGTTGCATGCTATGCATGACCTGCGTAGCTTGTACTGAATGACTATGTACGTCTACGTGCAAGAGTACATAACCCCCCGGGGGGTTATGTACTCTTGCTACGAGGCTACGCGGTATGCAGGGTATCATCGGTACGGTATGCTCTGTAGCTGTGCTGAAGCCGTGTATGCGCCCGGGCTGAACCGGGGGACAGGGGGATCCAGGGGCCAGGGCATGGCATTGCGCATTGCGGGGCCGGGGTACAGTGTACCGGGTACCGGGTAGGGGATGCGATGGTGATTTTTGAGGGATTTTTTGGACCCCGTCCCGCCCTTGCCCTTGGTCCCGTTGAAAGGTTTTTTTGCTGACTGGCCTGGCGGCGCGGACACATCCATGATCCACTTCATGCATGCAGTTCCTCCACAACGATCATCAGTGCAGTTCAGTGGCGCAGAGCTTTTATCAGTTTTCGTTTTTAGTCCGCGTAGCCGTAGGCCTCCTCTGATCTTGCTTCTTTTCTTGCTTCTTTCAATCAAACTGGAATTTCATCTTCTTGTTTGTAGCCGACCTAAGTACCGTTGCGAGCAGGCAAGGTGAGCTCTTTGTGTTTTGTGACTCCATTTACTAGCTATGTCTTAGGCTTTCGGGGTCATCTTGTTGAGTGTGTGAAGTTTGTCCTTTGAAAACTACCTATGTGGCACTTGTATTGGGTAGTGCCCAGGTACTTGCCTATTGCATGATTTTGTGCCAACTTCTTCTTTCTATGGAAGAAGCTAGGTACGTTTGGTTTCTAGTGACCTGCCTTGCATTTTCAGTCGAAGTAATGGTTCTGTCATCAGCTACAATGTAGCTCCGTACCTTGCCAGAATTGTACCGCCACCGAACCACACTACAGTACTGGTGTGTTCTTATGAGCACCGTTCTTCATGGTGATGTTCCGTGATCAAGTAGTGGATGATATGTAATCCGTCTTGTGATACATTTCTGTTCTGCGAAGGAAACTGGCCAGAAGCCATAGCAGTCACACCATTTCGGTTTAGTTGAGTGTGCGAATTTTTGTTGGTGTAAAATCGGTTCATGATGGCACAGTCGTTCTTCCGAATACACCTGCAATGCAGTGGTACATGTAGTGTGCATGAGGTTACCTGCTGTTGTCACGCCGGTTTGATTTGCGTGATGACTGTCACTGTGCGTTCCACGTCCACGCGCGGAAGGAAGAGTGGTGCTGAACAGAAATGCAGTTATTTTGGAACTATGTGTGGGATGTTCAGTGAGGACAGCTTCTTTCCCTTTGTTATGTGGTGTAGAAGTCACCTCGCATACTCCTTGGCTTGGGCCTTGTCTAAATTTTCTGTGCGAGGGTACAAGGTGTACGGGGTTGGCTGTGTCATAGGGGTCATGTTTCTTGAAGTTGTGAGTAGTGACTAGGTTCGTTCTCACACTGTCTGAACAATCATAATCATTGAGCATTTAGGTTCAAAGTCAGTAAAAGGCTGCATCCTGTCCAGGTGGTGTGCGTGTATAATCTGAACTAAACTTTATAGTAATTATACTTCTGGAAGTACTAACTAATATTATTACTTACCAATCCCTTACTGTACCTTTTTTGCACTTGCTGTTGTGCTCGTTGATATGACTGTGTTGGTATACTCTTGTACTTCATTGTTAGCACATGGACTGTTATAGAGGAGTCACTCAGTATGAGTTGCTTCTGGAAGTTCTAACCCTGGTAGTTATTGTTAGTTTCTAATGGACCCAGACGCGGGCGTCTTATCGATGGGTTCTCCACTCTGTACCTGAGTGCATGGTGAATATAACGCAGGAGGATCGGAAGGGATTGATGTGGCACAGCATGGTTGGCTCACTGCTATGTCCTGTACAACTTTACACCAAGTACGCTACAATGTAACACACGCTGTATTTCAGCATGGCATTACCATGATTACCATATTATGGGTACGCGCAACACACTTCCTTGCCATTCCGAGAGTGTAGGACTCTCTGCGTCGCTTATTTCCATCGAATTGTTGCAGTCAAAAAAGTTTGCTGGTTGAGTGACCATGTCCTCTGCTTTTCATGCAATTGTGGCAGCACCCACCTACATTCGTCCATTTCGGAAACAAGAGGATTTCTGGTAATATTATCTTGCCGCGCCGGTAACTGTCTTCAGCCCTAGTAGTTTGTACGGCTCATAACTAAAAATGAATTTATTTGCTTGAGGGAGTTAAAAATTGCAAATTCATCATGGTAGCAAAGAAAGGGACCAAGGAACTACAGGTTACGCTATCATGTCCACTAACACCACCAGTTACTTGACAATCAGCTCATGCGATAACATTGCACGACACTGACCAACGGTACTGGCGTTCTACGCTAACTGCCAATCAGCTCTAGCACGTCTTGGATGCGCACTCCAACCGCCTTCCAACTTGTCATGGTAGTGTTGACATTGTCCCGTATCCGTAAAGGCACTTCTGCTGCATTGCTTTTTGTTCGTGTGCCACTAATCGACTAATCAGTAAACTTGTGTCAAAGTTGTACATGTTTTTGGTCGAGTCCGTGCAAGAAAAATCATCTGATGGCTTCACTGCACTGCCTTCTGATATACTGGCTATGTCCATAGAAACGTTCTCCGATTTCTCGTATACCCCAGTTTGATGAATGCTGCGCTTGTGTGTGTACTTGTGGATTTTTGAAGTCGTGTCCAATGCTTTCTGTATCTGTAGCTGAGAAGTTCATTTTGGCGGACTCGTGCTCATTGGCTAAGGGTTGGTTGGCGAATCGCCGTACGCACAGTCCTCGCGTAACCTCGCCTGGTGGATTGCGCTATTGTGAACAATTGCAATGCATACCAAAATCATACCCTAAATCAGCTGCGGTGAGGGCTGGTAAAGTTAGTGCCCAACTATTGGGACATGCCCCGGCACCAATCCTGTACAATTTTGAGCAAAAGTGGTATGTGACCCGTGCACGCTAGTGCCTGGATGAATGCTTTGTCTAAGTTTCAAACCAAGACAAGTCGTGAACTTTTCTATATCTAATTTATATTGACACCGTCGCTTACGAGCCAGCAATACAAGATGTTGAAGTAGTTTCACGATCTGCAGTAACGTATCAAAAAAGTGGACATCACTGAAAGACCTTTACCATCCCATGAATTGTTGAAGAAACATTGTTTCAAGCTCCCATTGGCAATCCTGTTGTAGCATTTTGGGCGCATTTTGTATTGCTTTGTACAGTCGTCGCCAAAACAATCCGGCCAATGCCATAAAACAATCCGGCCAATGCCATGGATACGCGTACAGTGGTATGGCAGGCAAGTAGATCTACTACGCATTCATGAATTATGCCCACACCACTTGCACCAGGAGTCAGGACAGCACTGAACTGAACAGTCTCTGGTCTGCGCTGCACTCTGCCCGCTGCAGTCGAGTCTAGCACTGCACTGAGTGTATGCAGGTCTGGCAGCGCTGCAGCATATGCCGTGCACTACCACTACAGTGGCTGTGCATGCGGCCCATGCACAGCTACCGGTAGCTAGCATTGCATTTGGCCGGATTTTTTTGGCGACGACTGTAGTAGATTTCGTGCTACCGTGGAACTCGAACCGTATGCACGTGATCTCCTTTGGCATCAGGGCTGGTCCACCAACGGTGCTGCCCGGCGCAGATTTGGCTTGACTCCACCCCAACTTGTGGTGCACACTGTTGTAGTGTTTATGAATCTCTGTGCTTACTGGGCTGGTGCGCAACAGTGTTGTAGGTGGGTTCGGTTAGGTTTGCACTGCCTATGCTGCCAGTTGCCAACATTTGTGCCAGTGGATTCCTTTCTTGGAAATATGGTCAACAGACTGCGAGGATTCGATAGCGCGATTGTGCACGTTCTGTTTTAGTTTGTGGCTAGGTTTACAGGCTTCTTCTCTTAACAGCATGGCGGGAGAACAGGTGGTAACATGACTGTATGTTGCTACTATTGTAGCCATGGAAAGATGATGGGAATAGATGTACTGGTAGTTCTGGCCGCAATCGTGTACGTTGCATGAATATGCGCTTTGTCGTTGTCATCCCGCTGTCGAGCCTTTTTGTATGTGTGTACGTACTTGTTACAGTGGTTTGTGTTCCCGAACTGGGTTTGTGTTTCCTTCGACCTTGTTAGGTCTCGTCAGTGGAGCTCTGCTCAGTGTGACTGGCCGGACAAATCGCCAAAAAATCTCGTATCTAGTAGAGAAACAGATTGTAATACGAGTATAGCTACTTTATTTATTTGAAAATGCGTTCTCTTCCTACTGTAGAACAACTCTGTTGTTCATGTATAATTCCTCGTTGTCCAACCATCTATTTGGGTAGATCAGACTGACAGTGTGTTACAGTAAAGGCTGTCAAGGCCCAGAAGACATCTACATCTAGGACTAAAGGATTTCAATTACAGCGAAGTGACCCTCAATAATGAGACCACCTAACTGCTCACATGGACCTTATCTTCAAGGTCCCTTGAGCGGTCAGCTTAGACAGTTTTCACTGTACCATATTTGCCGCATGTTTTTTTATACAATTTTTAATCTATTCTGGCTTATTTTTCACCAGTTGGAGTGCAACCTGGTTGAGCAAAGCCTGGCGATTCAGTGCAGTATGTCCATTGTTTGACACTGTCTGCTTTTCTCTTTTTTTGTCTTTATCTAAACAGATGACCACCATTCGCAAGAAGCTCGTCATCGTTGGTGATGGTGCTTGTGGAAAGACCTGTCTACTTATTGTCTTTTCCAAGGACCAGTTCCCCGAAGTGTACGTCCCAACTGTGTTTGAAAACTACGTGGCAGACATTGAAGCTGAAGGAAAGAGTGTGGAGCTTGCATTGTGGGACACTGCGGGACAGGAGGACTATGATCGTCTCCGTCCTCTCTCCTACCCAGACACCGATGTCATCCTGATGTGTTTCTCTGTGGATAGTCCCGACAGCTTGGAAAACATCCCAGAGAAGTGGACGCCGGAAGTGAAGCACTTCTGTCCCAATGTCCCTATTATCCTGGTCGGCAACAAGAAGGATCTCAGAAATGATGAAGCAACAAAGAAAGAACTCGCCAAGATGAAGCAGGAGCCAGTCAAGCCAGAAGAAGGACGCGCCATGTCCGAGAAAATTGGAGCTTTTGCGTACTTGGAGTGCTCAGCTAAGAGCAAGGAAGGTGTGCGTGAAGTTTTTGAAACGGCTACCAGGGCAGCACTTCAAGTTCAGAAGAAGAAGAAGGGCAAGTGCCTGCTCTTGTAAACGGTGTGAGGTACTACTGCTCATTGCCTCTGTACACAGATTTTCTTAAGACCCTTTCGTCATGCCGTTCTTGACTGTATAAAAGAAATGAATAGTTCCGGCCTGTAATGTGTTTGTCCAACCCCTCCCTCCATATCCTGTCCCCTGCTGTCGTCGTTCCCTGCTGCTCGTCTTGGATTTATGTCAAGAAATCCAACCCGTCTTTTGCTCAAACTTTCGTTTTGTGTGCTTTTCCAATCTCGCCTTGTTTTGACACCGCGACCATCACTGGGCGATATTAATTTTTTTGCTGCTTCACTAATGAGATGACCATGCCATTTTCTGTTACTATGGTTCCAAATATTGTTCCGATAGAACTAGATCTGCCCTATTTTCCAGTTATTTTATTATTGTCATTGCTCGGAGGCATCGGGAGATGTTCGGGCTCGTGGTGCTCGTCCTATCCCTTCTCAGTCCTCTGAAAAAGTTGAATGTTTTTGTTGGCTACAGGCAACCCTGTAGCATATTGAACCAACTTTGGACTCGTGTGATGTTTGCCTCCACATCAGGACCGGCGGAAGCAGTTTTTGATTGGCCCAGCCATACCATAGCCTTTCATACTTTGTGTAGGATATGGAGTGTATCAAGAATTCATACCCCCCCCCCCCCCCGAACTCTTGAGGGTATACACTAAATTGTATACTATAGTCATCATGGTCATAACCTCAGGCTCCTGATATGCCAATATACTGTGTAGCTCAGGATTGATTGCGAAAAAGTCCCTCCGAGCGATATGCGCTTTCCACCTGCCTACAGGTGAGAAAATGCACTGATTTTGGCTTAGAAGTGGCTAATTGCATACACGTTACCGTGGTGACCGTAGAAATTCGAGAAATTCCTGTGACAAGGAAGCCGACAGTCCTATAAACTTCTGGTTTTCAATAACAGTCTTGGAAAGAGCTCGCCTTCCAACAAGGTAACTTTTTTCTCCAAAATTAATTGTATCAGCTTTGTGGTCCTTCCTAGCTTGGGTAAAAATAAAAATGGCGATATCGCAGAACACGTGGTAGCCATAGCTACCACCTAACGTTACTTTCTTGCATATTTCTTCACAAATATTTTGCCAAGACGCTTGCCAAAGGCCCCTTTCTCTTCTTCATGAGCACAGCAGCACATCAGGTTTTCAGTCTGTCAGATTTTGTCCATTAGAATTATGCAAAGAGAGCTATGTCCTACATCTGCCATTGAAATAGATTCAAGTGCAAATGCTTGGAGTAGTTCTGTAGAGTCTGGCAGGATCGAAGAAACATTTCGCGTTGATTGAAACTCTTTGCTGTCTCCGTACTATTTTCTCCCTTTCCGATACTCTGCAATATTTTATGAAACTGGAAAGCCTTTTGTACGATGCCTTTTAGTCCTGACAGAAGAAGGTATGATGCTGGCGGATAATTAGTTTCCTTTTTTTCTTTCTGCAATGACAATTTCCCTTTTCGCGCATTTGTTTTCGTTTTGCTCCCGACAGACGTTCTTTTTCTCCGAGGAGAGAAAGAGAAAGAGACCATGAGCGAGCACGAGAACGAGATCGTGAGCGTGAAAGAAGAGAGATGGATAGAAGACGCGGCAGAGACAGGGAAAGAGATCGCGATGAGCGCGATAGGCACCGTGACGACCGTGACCGGGAGAGAAGACGCGTCAGATCTCGCTCAAGGTCTCGAGAGGTAAGATTTTTGATGCGCTTCGTCTTGTCAAATAGGGGATACCCCGGTACCGGTATGTCAGATTGACTGTTCATCAGTCTTGAGAGAGTTGAATTATTTTGAATTTATGATTCGTTTTAATAATTACTAGTATGCCCTTTTTGTTGTATGCAGCGTCCACGTGGTTCTTCGGACCGTTCCAGAGATCGAGATATTGATGCATACCAACGGCCTCGGCACAACCGATATGAAAGGGAGAGGCTGGAGCCAACGTCTATTCTGATTGTGAAAGGATTGAAGCCCGACACACTTGAGGACACGGTCAGTCCTGCATAACGATGTTTATGCATAACGATGTTTACTGCTCTCCGAATGTCTTGTTCACCTTTCTTTGGTCAGGACTTGGTAGATTTTGGTGCTGGAAGGGGGGGGGGCACGCCTGTACATCACATACTCTGAAGTACATTGCTGCTCAATGAAATCCTATCGCTTCAGTCAAGTGTGCGCCCTGCACCAGTGCACGGCCCAGTGTTTGCAGGTCTGGGGCTGGTCTGGGACTGCACCAGGCCCGGCGTGATATTGACTTGTATTACTTACCTGATTTGTTTGTTTGCAGTGGGTGCAGGTCCATGCACCCACTGCAACGGAGCGTGGGTTTTGCCTGGCTTTGCTTTGCAGTGCACGCGTGACGCAAAGCGTGCACGAGTATCCATTGTGACTCGCGGTGTAGGCCCCTGCCGTATGGTACGGTCGCAACAACTTGTTCGGTGCTGTTGTTTTTCTTTTCTTTACATGGAAGCCCTCAATGAGTGGTGCCCACACATTCCAATATAATATTGTTCTTCAACTGGGTGTAAATTGTATCTGCACAGATCAGTCAAGCCATGGAGAAACGTGGCAGTGGGCCATTAAAAGATGTGCGCATTGTACGGGATAAAATGACGGGTAAGTCGCTACGACAAAAGGATACACTGTATGTCTCTGGCAGATTTGATTAAAAAGAGAACTACTGTACTGTATTGAGGATTAATGGTGTGGTTCTTTTCATTCCTGTTTGTAGTATTTATCACGGCTGTAGAGTGGTTTTGAATGTTATTGAATGGAAGTGTTGCACCTATGGAGCGTTTTTCACACCGTGCTATTCGTTTCTTAGGACTGTATTCGAATATTTATTTGACGGATTTCCGTCCAGCCAACTTGAGCATGGTTGTATGCACACCGTCACTGATGTCAGCTTGATGCTGTTGGTCACTATGTACTTCAGGTGTATCTCGTGGATTTGCCTTTGTTGAATTCCTTACGACGAGAGAGGCCAGTCGGTTTATCGACATCTGCTGCGTGAGTTGAGGATCGCTTAGCTGTGCTCTTGAGTATTGTGGCAAGTGAAATACGCCTCTGCATGTTCACATGTGTTGTGGATATGTATCATAACACGTGGGAACAGCAGGCAGGGTTGTGGCTGCACAATGGTGTAGTAATTGTGCTGTACATGGGTGCAAATCACGACATCACATGTAGTGTGGCGCTTGCACCAAACACCTAGTGACTTTGGGCTTGATTTCATTTTCATCAGCCGCACAGTGTATGGTTTATATACGGATCATGTGAACTATTATCACCATACTTGTTGAAATGCTTTGAAAAAGGTTTTCAATGGATGGATGTTGCGTTATTTGAAATGGCCTTTAAATTCTGTGCGCTTTTTTTACCTATGTGATTTGCTTTCGCCAGGACGATACTCTCTTCATAGATGATGTTCCCATGGCGTTGGAGTTCAGCCGCAAGCGAGAAGAAGGATCAACTGAGTGGATATGCATACGAGTAAGGCCAGGAACCCATCATGTGGTATCCATTGGTCATGGATCGGGTTTTTAAAACTTAAAATTGCAATGAATAAACGTGCACTGTCATTCTATGTTATCTTTTTTTTTAAATTTATTATTCCTGTAGCTATGCAAAAGACGTTGCGAATAGTGGAATCTCTCGCTAGCCAGTGTCCGCAGCGCTCTAACTTGTGTGTGTGTGTGTGTGTGTTCAATCGGGCCTGCAGAATCACGTGACAGGGCACATGAGTGACCAAGAGTTGTTGCATGAGTGGGACAGTAAACATTCACTATCCCGTCGATGTCCCGTACCGGACAGTAATATATAATTATGTCCTTCCGGTTGTGTTTGTTCTTTGTGCACAGTGTGACGCGCCTAACCCTCGCTGGCGAGAGGCTTGCAGTGTATGTCATCGGAAGAAGCCATGTAAGTGTCAAGTACCCTGCCAGGACATGCATGCATTGGATGGTGTGCTCGACCAGGTCGCTTTGTGCTTTCTGAGCCAAGAAGATTTGGCGGAAAGCCAACTACATCATTGTTGTAAGCTTATGTGAAGATACATGCAGATGCTAGAACTCCGTGCCTGAGAGGACGGCCGCTGGTTGGGCAGCATTATGTGTGGTTCGGCCAAGCAGCAGCATGAGCGACGGCCTGCAGCTACCAGGAATCAGTGTACCAGTGCCTTCGATTGTAGTATTTGTCAAAAGCACAACCAGCACTTTGTGCGTTCAGCATTACAAGCACCTGTTGGTGTTGATAATTTGTTCCTGTTTAGCGTTGCCGTCGCTGGATGAAGTAGACCCGCCAATGGACGGAGCTGCTGAATCTGGATCCAGCCCATCAAATGGTGAGCTAAACTTCCCCAGTCCATATGTATTTGTTTATGGGTACCGACTGCATATATTTCATTGCATACTCTCCATAGCCAATAAAGTTTGTACTGCTTCTTTCCAGTGAGCCTATCTGACCAAATATTGTCCTGCAATCATGCATGCAATGCTATTGCTAGCATCGGTAAGTTTGGGCAATTGTGGTCGGATAAGCGTCGCGGTCACCTCTTGGCTTCGCTTGGATTCTTGTAGGTCAAGCGTAGAGCATCCCACTTCAAGCCTGTCAAGCCGTGATGTTTCAAGCCATGCTGTCTTGTTTCGGTCTTTTCCGGCAGCACCTTCAACGGGCAACTTCGCTTCCCGCCCGCTCCTTTGTTATCAATATGGATCCGTTCTTTTTCGCTGCGCCGTGAACACGTGCCCTTCTAACTTTCGGGCGCGTCCATAAGTCATTTTGAACGTAGAGGACAGCGCGACGTATTCTTTTGGCTCAGACTCGCGTCCAGTCCCGCACTCCGTTGCAGTTCGGCGTAAACAAAATCCCATATCAGCCAAAAACATGTGTGTGTGTGTGTGTGCGTGCGACTTTGACTGTAGGTGCATTTTGTTGAGCTCCTCTACTGTATTCTTTGCTAGGCCAGATTGCATGCTGTTTATATCATAATCTCTGCCCTAGTGTTTGTTATACTGCTGGGTATGGTTGCATCCTTGGGTGTTGTGGCTAGTGCCCTGACGACGTCTCAGTACAAACCCTGATAGCATTGATGAAACCGAGTGGTTTTCGAATGTTTAGTACATGCATTTTACTTTCGCCTATCTTGTGTTTGGTAATGTTGTCAGTATGCCATGTCATACAAGTTTTTCTACATAAAAGTCACTAAGCCATGCATGGGTTTTTGTGGGAAACTCAGGAAGAAAGTTCATCTCGCTAATTACAAGAAGACTGGAGTGATTTTTATTTTCTTGTAATCAAATCCTTCGCTGAGCGCCTAGATGTACAGCATGTGCCTTCTGCATAAATTATGCCTGTATGAGAGTGTCTTTGGAAGAAATACTACTGGCTGCGGTGTGGATATGTCCGAAGACAATCAACTAGATTTCTATGAGTGCTTCTTCTGGGTATCTGGCTGTACAGTTGCTGAGATTGAGACTTTCTGAATCTTTCGCACTTACGTTTTGACGGTGAAGATTTTTGCGACTTGTTTTAATCGGCCTTTCCTCTGCGGTCATGGTGAATGATCACAGTACGATGCCTGCTGCTTAGCAGTTGGTGTTTTCTCCAACGGTGATGGGGGCATGTACTCGTGCTGTGCTGCAACAATCTAGCCTGCGTTTTTCGTCAACTTGTGCCGTGCGGAATAACCAGAAGGTGAATTGTCTACATTCTCCGCGAGATGCATCATATTGGTGAAAGTGTTTATTGTATCAACCCTATCATGGCCATGTAAGTATATTTGGCAACGTTTCCTCCGGACGCGTCTCATTCAGCCATTGCTGTGGAAAATGGTTCAAAGTTTACTGCCTGGTACGGTCTAAGTCAGAGGATGTGTCAGGAGAAGAATATCAGGGCTTTTCTCTCTCTCTCTCTCTCTTTGATTGTGATGAGTGACACTGGCTTCTTGCTTTCTTACCTCCTCGTATGTGACACGCAGTGCTCATTTTCCGCGGCCTCGACGCATTGTCCACTGAGCTCACGGTAAGCAGTCCAAGCCGACGCTGAGGAGATGACATGTTCAGTGTTGTACCCACTGGTATACTGGTGTAAGGTGTTTACTGCATGCTGCATTTGCTGGTGCATACATTCGGCTTGTCGTTTTCTATGTTGGTGGTGGTTTGCTCTGCCTTTTTTCTCTCTGTAGGTGTCTGCTCTCCTTCCTTTGTTCTCTCTTTCTTCCCCAAAAGTTAGTTAGGTTCGCCATTTTTCTGCGGTTTCCAACCGATACCAGTCAACTGACAACCTTCTTTTTCGGCGATGTCCTAATCACTGTTGCCGCCTCCAAGCCCATAGTCACGGCGAATTGGAAATAGAGCAACTGCGCCGGCGGCTAGTCCATACTCATCTTTGTTGTTGTTGTTGCTTTCTTTTCATGTTGTTGTCTTCCTCTGTACACATAGGTGACGGAGGCAGTTCGTGCCCATACCGCACTGCCCATCAAAGATGTTCGGCTAATCAAAGACCGGCTCACCAACACATCGCGAGGATTCTGCTTTGTGGAGCTTAATTCCATTGCCGTGAGTAGTTCCTACTTGTATCTGTGTTATGCCATTGGGTTTTCGCAAGTCAACAAATAGTAACAACTACAGTAAAACCTATAACTAAAGACCACCGTGATTACCGGCCTGCCTGGTACTACGGACCACTTTGCCAGGCACGGACGGCCTCACATTCCTATAATGGTTGTGTGGTGCAAACCTCTAACTAAGGACCACATGCTACTAAAGATCGCTTTCTCTGGCCCTAAGGGGTGGTCGTTGGTCACAGGTTTTACTGTAATGACTTCCGGGTCATGTTGGATAACACTTTGCCAGAAGCAAATTACAATACGCAGTGGGTAGACCCCTCGTGTCGCACAGAGGTTGCGAGTTTTTTTCTGTGCCAGAAGTGTGTCTCTGACTGGGATGGCCCAGTCTAGTCACTCCTGGCGGATGTGTCAACCTCCTGGGGTGGAAAACCACCAAAAACCTGTATGGATCCGTCTAAGTAGATCCAAAAGTCATGACTCCGGGCTGGCAGGAGCGTATCACTTCGAAGCTCTCTTATTCTTTGACACTGTTGGCACTCGTGCCAGGAAGGACTGGGGAGGTTCGTAGGTTGGATTGAAATCTTAGTATATTTGCATCATGTGTCAACGGTCCATCTGACTAGTCTCTTCTCTTTTTGTCACTGTTGTGCTGGTTTCTAGGAAGCGAATCAACTCCTGGAGTCTTTGCAATACTTGGATCCTCCGTTTGCCATTGATGGGAGGTCGAGTAAGCATCATGATTTGCATCTCTGCTGCTGCTGTGTGACTGTTGCAGGTCATGACTTTCATGTGCACATCCTAGGCAACACACGTCGAAGACATTGTCCTGCAATGGTTCTCCGCATTCAGATCCATGATAATTGAGTGCTAGTTGTTCATGCTGCTGTCATGTGGATGTAGTGTTGGGGTTCTTTGCACCATAGGCCTGCAGGCTCCCTGAATTCCTGGTTGGTTTCTGCATTTTGTAGTTACTGGTGCATATAGCAATGAAGACCGGTGTCGCCTCTGTAGCCTTACTGTGGCTAACTAGAGTGAAATCTCTGGACTACAGTTCTCATTATGCTGTTCATAGTAGTGTGACCAAAGCGAACGTCCCATTTCTGGTAAATCTTTACAAAAACATTTTATACAAGCCCGTAGGACTTGCACAATTTCTGGAGGTCTTGCTGTGACTCTCTCATCAATTGCTTGCTTTTTGTGTATTTTGTACTTTGCAGTTATCATCGGGTTTGCTCGTCAACCTCAAGTCAACCCGGCGCAGGCAAAGTATGTGTCATCGCAATTCTTGTTGTGTGTCTGTTTTGTTTCGCTGTGAGCCGCTGTAGAAAAATGATGAGAAGGATGTGAACAAAAATCGAAATGTGCCGTATAGGTGTGTATGTGTGTCATGCAGTGTACATTCTAATTTGTGTGTGTGCGTGTGTATGTGTGTGTTCTAGGAGTGGAGCTGCAGCGATCCAGGCAGCTCAGTGGTCCAGCGGCCCTAAAGCATCTGGCATGGGAGCATCCACAGCTGCGCCAACATCGACTGTATCAACAGCAACCGCCGCCACTGCTGTTGTGTCTGCTGCTCCTGCCATCGCTGGCAAGGTACTGTGGCGTGTTGCAGTCTTGGCATGTACTGTATTTGCTGGATGGTGTATAACGTGCACCTGAGTATATTGCACACCCCCTTTTTTGACCAGCATTATGATTGTGAACCCTGACCCACACACTCGTTTTCTTCGAGTGTGGCATTTTGTCAGCTCGTTCCCTCGTCATCAATTCCGCACCATTGATAGTAGGGGTGAAACGGTTCCATGTTTTTCATGTTCGGGTACCCTAATGCCAGCATAGTTTCCCACGGTTCGGGTATCGGTTCCATGCACTCTTTTCTCCAGACAGACGAAATGCGTTCGCGACATTTATTTTTTTAGAAAAAACATTTTTACGAGCAAGAACGAGACATCGGAGAGTCCATGTGCGAAGAAGATAATGACCTAGAGAACTCTTTGGAAGAGCGGTGATCGTAAGGTAAGACATTTAAATCTTCAGTAGACTTGACGTGTACATGTATTTGTACGAAGACGAGATTTTTCGAGTTTCGGTTCGAAATTTGACAGAACGGGTACCCGATTCTTTTCACCTGGCGGTTCCAAAACCGGTTCCTTACCCGAACCGTTTCACCCCTAATTGATAGGTCATGCTACATAGGCTGATATTCCGTTCTTTTCTTCTTCTTTTTTCTTGCCAGATCATTCCACCTACAGATGCGCAGAAAGCGTTTGAGGCCGGCTATCTAGCGGCGCAACAACAGGTCACTGCCACCCTTGCAGCTACCGCTGCAACTGCAGCAACGGCTGCAGCAACACAAGTAAGACACACACACACACACACATGCACACACACGCTTGCTAAGGTGCACATTCATTCTGTGGTTCGACTGAAGTCGGCTTCCTTATTGCTATCTTTATGGCTCAATAGCTCTTGTTGATGTAAACCTGAGTTGTATCAAGAATGTTGCGAGTCTTTGACTGTTATTCAAAGTTACATCTGCAATACATCCACAAAGTGTATCACAGAGGCCCACTTCTTTTTTCAATAGCACGTGCTCTCTCTCTCTCTCTCTCTCTCTCTCTCTCTCTCTCTCTCTCTCTCTCTCTCTCTCTCTCTCTCTCTCTCTCTCTCATGTTAGAACATAAGGTAGACATTCTTGCACCATAGGCCTGCAGTTACTTAGTATTTCACAGTACTCTGCATTTGTATTCATACTGGTGCATACAGCAATTGTGTCTGGTGTCGCCTCCACTGCCTGTTTTGTGGCTTTGGAGTGAATTATCCGGGTCGCATGCTCTCTTTTTATTTACTGTTGGTCATCTTGTTTTTCTTTTGTGTAGTTTAGTTTGAAGTACTTCTTTTCAGTGTTGGATAATGTGACTTCATTGTTTTCATGAATATTTGCTGAACTACCATGACTTTTGCAGCCATATAGTTGAATTTTGGACCAGTTTAAAAAGTAACTTCTCCTTGCTCTCTCACACTCTCTCTCTCCCTCTGTCCGTCTGTCTGTCTGTCTCCGTGTGTTTGTGTATAGCTAACACAGCCGACGGTCATCCAACAAGGTAAGTAACAGTTGTGCATATCGTACAATCAGACTAGGATTTGACATTGGTAATGTTGACAGCTCACCAATCACAACAGTAACATGATATCAGCGGTATTTTTCATTATCTGTGAGGATGAGGTGGCAATGCTGCTTGTTTGCTTCCTGACGTATTAATATATATATATATATACACTCAATCTATATATATATATATATTTAAATAGAGAGGTAGGCGAACAAAATTTATATACACACAACAACAAGGTTGTCAGTTTCATAATACCAAAAGCTTTTCACCCATTTTCATCAGTGGTTACATGGGAATGAGCAAGAACGAAAACGAAGCCAGAATTTATACAAACGTGTGGCAACAAGTGATAGCGCCATCACAAAGCATTTGCAGGCGCAGCCTGAATGCATCCCACAGGAACGCAACAGCAGCTTCAGTGTGATCACACCAGCCCGAAACAGCGCGCACCGATTCACACTGGAGGCGCTGTACATTCGCAGTTTGAGGCCAGAACTGTGTCGACAAAAGAAGCACATCAAGGTGCTACGGCTGTTCAAGCTGCAACCGGACTGACAACTTTATCACGTGTTTGTTCTGGTACTGCATTCCCCTCATGTGTTGTTTCCCGCATTTTTCCACTGCTCCATACATTCTTATGGTAGTGTAGTGTGAACTTGAGGCGCGTAAGAATATTCTTGCTGATTCTCTACCCCCAGTATAAATTCTGGCTTCGTTTTCGTTCTTGCTCATTCCCATGTAACCACTGATGAAAATGGGTGAAAAGCTTTTGGTATTATGAAACTGACAACCTTGTTGTTGTGTGTATATATATATATATATATATACACACAACAACAAGGTTGTCAGTTTCATAATACCAAAAGCTTTTCACCCATTTTCATCAGTGGTTACATGGGAATGAGCAAGAACGAAAACGAAGCCAGAATTTATACTGGGGGTAGAGAATCAGCAAGAATATTCTTACGCGCCTCAAGTTCACACTACACTACCATAAGAATGTATGGAGCAGTGGAAAAATGCGGGAAACAACACATGAGGGGAATGCAGTACCAGAACAAACACGTGATAAAGTTGTCAGTCCGGTTGCAGCTTGAACAGCCGTAGCACCTTGATGTGCTTCTTTTGTCGACACAGTTCTGGCCTCAAACTGCGAATGTACAGCGCCTCCAGTGTGCATCGGTGCGCGCTGTTTCGGGCTGGTGTGATCACACTGAAGCTGCTGTTGCGTTCCTGTGGGATGCATTCAGGCTGCGCCTGCAAATGCTTTGTGATGGCGCTATCACTTGTTGCCACACGTTTGTCAGGCGGCTTCTTGTACAGCTTGTCTGGGATATGCTGCTTGATCCTTTCCGAGAATCGCTGACATGTCTCACCAACGTACGTCCGCTCACAGCGACACGCATACTTATAAATAAAATTACTATTTTCAAGAGTTGGTGAAACATCCTTCGCGATAGACCTGAATGCGGGTCTGGTTGTATAAATTACAATGGGGGATACTGTAGGATAGCAGTTCAAAATTGCAGCTTTAATCTTTTTGCGGAAGGCAATGCAATTTTGCCCTTTCCACGGCAATTTTGTGATAATACGCGTTGCAGGTTCAAGTTGTGCAGAAGCTGTATCTGGGCTAGGTTCAAGAACGCTTGTCATGACTCGCTTGAGTACTTTGAGTGGGTAACCGTTAGAACACAGAATATCCTCTAGCTTAGCAATTTCAGCTGATAATAGAGGCGCGTAAGAATATTCTTGCTGATTCTCTACCCCCAGTATAAATTCTGGCTTCGTTTTCGTTCTTGCTCATTCCCATGTAACCACTGATGAAAATGGGTGAAAAGCTTTTGGTATTATGAAACTGACAACCTTGTTGTTGTGTGTATATAAATTTTGTTCGCCTACCTCTCTATTTATATAATATATATATATATACACACAACAACAAGGTTGTCAGTTTCATAATACCAAAAGCTTTTCACCCATTTTCATCAGTGGTTACATGGGAATGAGCAAGAACGAAAACGAAGCCAGAATTTATACAGAGCTATATATATATATATATATTTATGCAGAGCTCACTGACTTGTCAGTTTGAGCACTCTGGCAAGGTACGTTCGGACCTGATTGGAAATTTTTATTTCCATTGCTATCAGGTTCGGCCTCATTTCCTCTGTGCTGCGCTGATGAGTCCACAAAGGACGAAACAGTTCTGTCCGCAGATTGAGTATATATATATATATATATATACTCAATCTGCGGACAGAACTGTTTCGTCCTTTGTGGACTCGTCAGCGCAGCACAGAAGAAATGAGGCCGAACCTGATAGCAATGGAAATAAAAATTTCCAATCAGGCCCGAACGTACCTTGCCAGAGTGCTCAAACTGACAAGTCAGTGAGCTCTGCATAAATATATATATATATATTATATACACACAACAACAAGGTTGTCAGTTTCATAATACTAAAAGCTTTTCACCCATTTTCATCAGTAGATACATGGGAATGAGCAAGAACGAAAACGAAGCCAGAATTTATACTGGGGGTAGAGAATCAGCAAGAATATTCTTACGCGCCTCAAGTTCACACTACACTACCATAAGAATGTATGGAGCGGTGGAAAAATGCGGGAAACAACACATGAAGGGAATGCAGTACCAGAACAAACACGTGATAAAGTTGTCAGTCCGGTTGCAGCTTGAACAGCCGCAGCACCTTGATGTGCTTCTTTTGTCGACACAGCTCTGGCCTCAAACTGCGAATGTACAGCGCCTCCAGTGTGAATCTGTGCGCGCTGTTCCGGGCTGGTGTGATGACACTGAAGCTGCTGTTGCGTTCTTGCGGGATGCATTCAGGTTGCGCCTGCAAATGCTTTGTGATGGCGCTATCACTTGTTGCCACACGTTTGTCAGGCGGCTTCTTATACAGCTTGTCTGGGATATGCTGCTTGATCCTTTCCGAGAATCGCTGACATGTCTCACCAACGTACGTTCGCTCACAGCGACACGCATACTTATAAATAAAATTACTATTTTCAAGAGTTGGTGAAACATCCTTCGCGATAGACCTGAATGCGGGCCTGGTTGTATAAATTACAATGGGGGATACTGTAGGATAGCAGTTCAAAATTGCAGCTTTAATCTTCAAGTTGTGCAGAAGCTGTATCTGGGCTAGGTTCAAGAACGCTTGTCATGACTCGCTTGAGTACTTTGAGTGGGTAACCGTTAGAACACAGAATATCCTCTAGCTTAGCAATTTCAGCTGATAATAGTGATGGTGAGCAGATGGTTTTAGCTCTGAAAGTTAATGATCTGATCAAATTGATTTTGTTTCTAGTGTCACAAAACGAGTCCCAGCGGGTGTAAAGACCTGTGAACGTCGGCTTTCTATATACTGTGGTGAGCAATTCTGTGGAAGAATGCTTAATCAATACATCAAGAAACGGCAATTCTCCATTATTCTCCTCCTCCATTGTAAACTGGAGAGCTGGGTGAAGATTATTTAAACGCTCAGAGAATTCCAATGCCAGTTTCCGGTTGTGAAATGCTGCGAATGTGTCATCCACATAACGCCTATAGAATTGGGGCCAATGACTGTCTGGAATTGTGTTCTCAAAATATCCAACAAAGATATTGGCTAGCACGGGGCCCAAGGGTGAACCCATGGCTACTACTCATGGCTACTCAGTTTCAATGGCAATATGTACGCACAAAGGGACGGAGTAGCCGCACACAACCGTTTTCCACAAAAATATCCGGATAGGCGAGGGAACCGGATAATCGAACACCGGTTATGTTGGATGCGCTCTGAAAACTGTAAATCTGTAACCAGCTACTTGGTCCGCGTCAGCGATATTGTCGCTTATCTTTCAGCTTTGTATATATGTCGCCAATGCTTACTTGGCAGCCCATTTCATCCCAATTTGGGTTAGCAAGTTAGTTTGCTAGTACCTGAAAGGTCTAGCTAGAGTTCGAGTGGATTTCGAGAGCGACAGGTGGGTGATTCTGATTGATACAGCGCCGCATCAAAATAGATTATCTTTTTGCGCTGTGCAGGCATGAGCAGCGCAAGCCACAAGAAAGTAATCGGCTACTCGGAATCAGCTCCATTGTGCAGAACGGCCGAGATCGCTCACCTCAGGGATCGCTCATCAAGCTGAGATCGCAGCTCCCTTACCTCCAGCTCAACGCTCGGAGTATCCAGCGCGTCGTGGAGATTTGCAAGTACTGTACGCGTCGTCGTCGTTCAAAATAAAATCTTGCAAAGAACGGCGTCTGATTTGAACCACACAGGCTGTCGTGCTGCCCACACGAAGTCCTATAGAGAAGGCGACCGTCACGATCGACTTCTCTTTAGAAAATAGCCAGGCAGCGGAGAGGAAGAGAGATGAGCTTGCAAAAGCAAGAGAGTCGATTCCGAGCAAAAATATTTGTCGCCAGACCGGAGAGCAGCGACGAGGAGGACCGAAAACAGTAGGAAGCCTTCCTTGGACAATAAATTCCTCGCAGCTAGTTGTCATTCTATACCTTACCGTCCATCGTACCAAGTTTTATCACTTCAAGTGCACGCGTTCATGTCCATAGTCTAAGTTCAAATTGTCGAAAGATAAGCGACAATATTGCTGACGCGGACCAAGTATGTTCTTCAGGATGGCGAGAATCCGGATAAAAGAGGACTGGATAAGCGAGGTCTGACTGTATAGTGCATATCAAAACATTAACACTTGAACTAGGGACTTGCAGCATACTCGTTTGTTGTAATGTTACAAACTACCCTGAACCATCACGGTGCAGCATGTGTAAGCACTCTACATGAAATCAGCATCTTCACTCATTTTTTGTCTGTTCTTTTTTTCTTATGCCAGCAGCACCCGCTATAGAAATTGGCCCCAAAATGCCTGAGCAAACAAAAGCCAGTCAAGCTGTTGAAGCGGCACAAGCACTAAGCCAGCCAATTATAGGTCCTACTCCAGCTCCATCAGCAGCAGTACCGGCCACAGCAGCAGGTAAGGATAGCGGGTTGCTCTTTTGTTTAGCATAAGTTTAGAATTTCACATGAGGGTAGTTCAAGGTTTGGTTGATGCAACTCCCGTAGGTCTTGGTATGATAAGAATGGGAGAAGAGTTGTTTGTGGATTTTGCTATGTAAAGAGCTGTGGCAAATGTAGAGAAGAAGTGCATATGCAGCTACTCATGCCAGGGAAATGTGTGGTAGAATAAGGGAATGCAGTCAGAGGTAGAGAGATGCGAGAAATCTGTACCTCGCTACTAGTTTGCTTATAAGCATTGTGGAGACAACTGAACCTGCTTTCCCTGTGTGCACCATGAAGTGCAGTGGTTATGTTGACCTTGTGCCTCACAATTTACTTTGTTTTGTTGAACGTCCAGGTGCCCCTGATACCGGTATGGGCTCTACATATACGTATGATGCAGCATCGGGTTATTACTATGACTCCAGTACAGGTCTTTACTACGACCCAAGCACTCAGGTGAGCTACTGCTGCCTTGATGGATGCTGTTCCCATCACTGCTCTGTATATACACAACCCCCTTGCGTACGATCTTTGCACCATAGGCCTGCAGGCTCCCTGAATTCCTGGTTGGTGTCTGCTTTTTTGTAGTTACTGGTGCATATAGCAATGAAGACCGGTGTCGCCTCTGTAGCCTTCCTGTGGCTAACTAGAGTGAAATCTCTGGACTACAGTTTCATGTTGATATTTATGTCTTCAGTTTGCCATGCCAATGACCTGTCATTTTTCGAACAAATGTTTGCTGTTGAATGTCACAGACGCCTCGATTACTGTCTTGTTAGGACACTGTTCTGCTGTGGTACATCCTTTCCCTGCATGTATATATTTGTTGAAAATGTCGATGTATAATAAGTCGGTGCAATTTCCACGTCTGCTTCCCGTCCTTCATGCTCTGCTCATTTGTGTAGTTGTTTATGTCGTATAACTCCTTGAACCGCTTCTACTACTCAATTGTAGTACATTGCATTCGCTTGTCATCTGATTGTGTGTCTGATTGTGTGTGTGTATGTGTTTGCATGTGCAGTATCACTACAACCCAACCACACAGCAGTACTGTTACTATGACACGCAGAAGCAGCAGTATGTACCTGTTGCCAATAACAACACCGGCAACAATGGCGGGTATGTCATGCTAACAGACCTGCATTTGAAATTTGAACCCTCATGATGCAATTGGGTGAAACCTATCAATTCTTTTTTTTAAAGTGTTGACCGAAGTATTCAGGCATTTCTACCTTCTCGCCCAACCTTATGGTCAGGCGCTCAGTAAAAGATGAACCCTTCGAGATTGCTAGCCAGTCTCGATGCTGGAAATAATGGTGTGTTCGTTTACTGCTTGTGTACTAAAGGGTTAACGATGCATTCAGGTTTCTCTCATTTTTATTGTTTTTTCTGTATTTCTTGTATCATCTTTTTAGGCAAAATGCAGGACCTGATGACAAGAAAGGTAAATATTGGGGCTAACTGCATCTCCTGAGTCTAGCAGCTTCATAATTGTCTGGAGAGCATAAGATTCCTTTCCAGCCAATGCTGTTTTGCTGTGTGTTGCGGAACCTAAGGAAAGGAGAGTGCAAGTGAACAAGGAACCGTTTTGTTTGTCCTGATAACAATTTCGATTACTGAACACAGGTGTGTTTTTAGTTGGCATTCTGTTCTGCAGATTCTCCATGTCAATCCATTTGCGTTTGCATTGTTGCCTGTGTTTGTAGATAAAAAGAAAAAGAAGGATGGTGGAGCGGCAAGTGCACGCAAGGTATGACTTCACCTTGGCCGCAAACTGCATTAATTTTTTGCTTCTATTGGGTTGGTAGCGCTTTGTAGTGCCTCATTTAGTTTGTTCTCCCTTTTCGACCCTGTCCTTTAAAAAAAAATTTTTTCTTGTCTATTGATAAAGCACATGCACCATAGGCCTGCAGGCTCCCTGAATTTCTGGTTGGTGTCTGCATTTTGTAGTTACCGGTGCATATAGCAATGAAGACCGGTGTCGCCTCTGTAGCCTCCCTGTGGCTAACTAGAGTGAAATCTCTGGACTACAGTTCTCGAATATGACCGTTCGGATATCTATGGAAACTGAATTTGGCTTTTAGTCTAGGTAATTCCGCTCAAATCAATGCGCTGTTATAGTGCCATGTCTTATAAGGAAATGCCGGTGTGTAGAGTGACACATTAGGTTAGACATTGTTTCTTGACTGAGCCGGGCAGAACTGAAACAGTAGTAAATGTAGTGTTATTGTTGTGCTCCTTGCTGATGTTAGATTGCTCGGGACATGGAGCGCTGGGCAAAGAGCTTGAATGCTGCAAAGGATGCAACTAAGGCTGCGCTGGCCGCTGCCGAGGCTGCTAAAGCCGTACAAGCAGCTTCACAGCAAGTCTCCATTTTGCGTTCCGTGGAGCAGGCACCACTGTCCCTGGAAAGTCTCCAGGCCGCTCGGCAGGTGGAAGCACGCTTCGAGCAAGGAGTAAGCTCTACTGATTGTAGTTGTGGTTTTGATTAATTTTTTTTAGTTTGTTGACTGGGGTAAGCACAACTATTCTATATTTTCTAGGGCACGTTTGGTTGGCACAATCTAGACCAGTATCGAACAGCCCGTGCACGCGTAGCAGACTTATTATTTATTTCTTCATCCACTGACGATGTTGTTCATTACAACGAAACGTCTGGAGAAGTATCATAAATATTTCTATCGTTATTAAATTTTATCAAATATACCACTCTTTGGTCTAGAAAGAATACTTTTTTGTTATTATTTATATTCTATATTCTCACGATGTTGTTGTTGTTGTTGTGTGAATGTCCAGTCTAAAAATGTTGTGTCCGGCACTTTCCTTGGCCAAGAAGCACCTTCTGAACCGTTGAACTTTGATGGCAAGAACAAGAAGAATGCAGAGTCCGTTGTGGATGATTGGAAAACGAAAATGAATGCCATGGCCGCGGAGAAGAAGCGTGAGGCCACACCGCCACCAGTACCGGTTCCTGTACGTGAAGAGCCGTCTTTTGCTATTCCGGACGGCGCCGACCCAGACCCCGGCCACACGGATTGGAAGCAGATGGCGTGTCTGCTGTGCAAGCGTAGGTTTCCCAACCCGAATGCACTTGTTCGCCATCAGCAGCTGTCGTCGCTTCATAAGGTAGGTCCTGGCCCGGCGTTACAGTGGCCTTGCTCATCGTGTTATCTTACGAACAGTGCGATGACTATCACTGCATGTACAGTAGAACCTCTCTTATCAGCGCACTTCCGTCAACTGGGTACCCTGCAGGCAAAGAGCGTATTCCGTTAAATTTGGAAATTTCTTCCTTTTCATGGCTGTCAGTTCGACTACTACACCGCGTAACCGACCAGTGCTCTCGTCTCTTACACTATACTACAAAGTGTCCTTGCTGCAAATAGTGCCCAATACCCTAACAAGGGCGGAGCGTAGTACACAAGGCAGAACAACAGAGACCAAAAAGCTTTCTCGTTACTCCGAGTTTCGTGTTCAAAAACACTCGTTACACTATACTATGTATGATTGTGGATCAAGTTGTGATAGGTGTCGATCTGGGTCCAGTGAGCCCAGCCGAAGAGAATGACAATCATGCCATATTCATTGTGGTTGTGGTGTATTTCTGAGCTACGGACGATTGCCCGGAGTGCCCGGATAAGAGAGATTCTACTCAATCTTTGGACAGCTAGCTGTTTCGACCTTGGCAGGTCTCATGAATGAAGCTGCGAGTGACTGGCTGGCTGATCGCAAGGGGGTCTAGTGAACAACACAGCATCAAAGTGTGCCCAAATACACTGAGCTTTGCACAAAGGCGAATTATCATTGACGCTAATCAGAAGAGAGTGCTCAACTAAACTGAGGTTGGGCTGGGGAGGTTCTACTGTAGATATTCTTGCACCATAGGCCTGCAGTTACTTAGTATTTCACAGTACTCTGCATTTGTATTCATACTGGTGCATATAGCAATTGTGTCTGGTGTTGCCTCTACTGCCTGTTTTGTGGCTTTGGAGTGAATTATCCGGGTCACATGTATTCATAATTAATTTTTATTGATGCTGGGGATGTATGATAGTAGAGCGTTTGAGCATCTGTGAGAGGCATCATTGGCTATAGCAACCAAAATCGACTGCCTGTGAGCACATGTTGTTGCTTTGCATCAGCTGGAGTGGTTCTTTGCATCGACACTGGAACACCCCGGCGGTGAGCAGTCATAAGTTTCCTGTAAAGGCAGCCGTCTGTCTTGCAGAACTCTTGACCGCCGGGACTTAGAAATGTCTCCTGAATGTGGAGGTGTCTTGTTTTGAGGTATCCGGTTCTTCTGTGCAAGTAGTGTGCTTTGCTGACCATCTTTCTGTGTCTCCTGGCGCTGTGTTTGTTGTACAGAATAACCTTGCTGCCAAAGGCCGACCGCCATTACCGGTTACAGTACAGGTTCCTGCTGATCAGCAGGCTGCTGCCGGACCAACAGCGGCAGCACCAGCACCGGCACCACGAGATGAGCCGATGCTTCGTCCTTCGGCAGCAGGAAGAGGTAGAGATAGCTTTGCAGACAACAATGTAAGTGAGGTGTCTTCTGGTATCATCGTTCTTCGTGTTAAGCGCTGCAGAATAAGTTAGTTCATTTTCTGCAGATGAACTTTGGTAGGCCTATCGCAGCCTCGTAGGAACGTTAGTGGAATCCAGTACAAAAGCTGTAGGCTAGGCCAGCTAGGCCAGGCAAACTCGAAGCTGCCTCACTGGAAATGGACTCAAATGAGTGTGGGATATGTAGATGGACTTGGCGTGGATCACTGGTGGTACGTGTAAGATTGGCTGTTTGTGCACTATGGCCCGGTAGTGTTGGCTTAGCACAGGCTTGGCTAAACATGTATTCTTGTATATTGGTCCAGTGCTAGCTGAGGTGTGTAGTGCAGTTGTGTACCAATGTCAGCACGTTTTAATCGTAGATATACTTGCACCATAGGCCTGCAGTTACTTAGTATTTCACAGTAATCTGCATTTGTATACATACTGGTGCATACAGCAATCGTGTCTGGTGTCGCCTCTACTGCCTGTTGTTTTGTGGCTTTGGAGTGAATTATCCGGGTCACATGTTCTCGTGTTGATGGTGTGTCGTCTTTTGATAGATGGTATATTGTAATAGTTGGTTGCAGACTATTCAATAGAAGGCTCTGATCTTGTACCATTGTATTTTTTTGAAGGAAGTGAGGTCTTTTGCAAACGTTTCAGGCCATTGACTCCCAGCACATGTTCTTAATGTTTTCTTTTCTCAATATTTCATGTAATACAAAGCCTCTTTCATTTCCATCTTCCATTGTATTTTGTGATGCACATGCCGTATCTGTTCTACCTGCTATGCAGTCATGCATTCCAGGCTATGATGCTAGGCTACATCATGCTCTTTTCCTTTTTTTCTATTGCTTGTCGCATTGTGCAGATGATGTACCGAGACCGCGCAGCGGCGCGGCGCAGTTTACACGGACCAGCCGAAGCACCGCAGCGTGAAGAGCCCAGGCAGCAGCCGCTGCCATATGGATTTGGCGGTGAGCTGCCAAGCGTGGCAGCGTCACAACGGTCTCCACCACGCCAACGACGGCCTGCAAGAGAAGAGTGAGTACTGTAATTTCACAAATTTTCGGTACTTTCGGTGTATCTGTTTCATACCCAAATTTTCTCCAAACAAACACTAACACACCTAATCCAATAAGGGACTGCCTCTCTGTACCTAAAATTTCTGTCCCCCTAATCTGGTCTTTTGCCCTCATACCTAAAAAATTTGAGTATCCTGGATTGTTGTGACTAGACTAAATAATCTTGAGAAACCTCCCTGGATGAAATGTTCATTTGCAGGTAGCTGCATTCTGGGTAGCTGCTGTGTACCAATGTCAGAACGCAATGTAGATGATATACTTGCACCATAGGCCTGCAGTTACTTAGTATTTCACAGTAATCTGCATTTGTATTCATACTGGTGCATACAGCAATTGTGTCTGGTGTCGCCTCCACTGCCTGTTGTTTTGTGGCTTTGGAGTGAATTATCCGGGTCACATGTACTTTTCTATACTTTTCATGTGCTTTTCTATTTTATTGTTTGGTCATATTGTTTTTCTTTTGTGCAGCTTTTATTTGAAATACTGCTTTTCTGTGTTGGATAATGTGACTTCATTTCTTTCATGAATACTGGCTGAACTAGCATGACTTTTGCAGCCGTACAGTTGAATTTTGGACCATTTTGCTCTCCCCGATTATGTAAATGACCCTGCTCTTCTCTCTCTCTCTCTCTCTCTCTCTCTCTCTCTCTCTCTCTCTCTCTCTCTCTCTCTCTCTCTCTCTCTCTCTCTCTCTCTCTCTCTCTCTCTCTTTCTCCCTCTGTTCATATTCTTAGGTCGTATGAGCAGCCCGGTCGCGGGGGACTGGGAACAGGCAATGTTGGCAATCGAATGATGCAGGTATGCTCTTGTGAACTTCTACCGGTCGGGTTTCTTCCTATCAAGTTTTGAGTTGTTCGTGGTTGTATTTGTGCATCCTTAGGAGTGATTTTCCTTGTACATCATTGAAACGGCTAGTTGTCTGGATATCTATACCAATATCCGACTACAATGTGTTGTTATATATGGAGATGTGTACCAATATCCTACTGCAATGTGTTATGTATGTGTATAGGCGATGGGCTGGTCAGAAGGGGAGGGACTGGGCCGCCATGCTCAAGGTCGTATCGATGCTGTGCAGGTAAGGATGCGTCTCCAGCACAATTCACTTTTCAGCTCAGTTTTCCATAACTCTTTTGTATGGAGTTTTCACGTGACCTGGTACTTCCCTCTGTCATTTGCCTGCATCATCAAGAGTACATGAAACCCAGGGTGTGCAGGCCTGGTGGGTTGCTGCCAGGGCGAAATTCCGGGAGTACACGTACATCATTTTTCCAGACGATAACGAGTAACATACTCGCTTGATATAATTGTTTTCTTATGAGAAATTACTGAGTAACCGGTATGATTGTTCACGCCAAGTACACTCGTTATCCACTGTTGTGTTTGTAATTCTGTCTCGCCCAGGCACAGACAAGGGCCGGCCAAGCGGGCTTAGGTTCTCGAGGCAGCGATTATGGCGCTTATGTTTCTGATTCACGGCGAGAGACCATGACCCGATTGGTAAGTGCATGTAGTATTCTCTGATCGACTTTCTCTGGCCTTTGTAGCGTGATTGCACTTTAGGCCTGGAGCCTCTGTTGTCTTACTACCAGAGGCTGCATAATCATTGAGCAAGTGCATACAACAACTATGACCGGTGTCGCCTCCATTGCCTGGGCCTGGCTGGCTCGTGGTGGCATTTGGAGTGAATTATCTGGTCTTCATTCTCATGCATGCAGAGTGCAATAATGGCTTTGGTAACCGCCGTGCCCTATAGGGTTCATCCGCATAATTCTAGCAACCAGTTTTGGAAAGTGTTTTTACTTTCTACTGGTTTCTGTATTTTTTTACATCTAACCATGACCGGTTGATAGAGCTCTTGGCTGGTTTTAGGAAGTCGTTTGCGTGATTATTGTAGTCATATAAAAAACTGGGTTATTAGTAGTAACAAGAGTGCATAAACAAGAGTATGCAACTGTGGTTATGGGTCAGTGCGCGGCGTGCTGCCTTCATTACGTAACTTGCCTTCATCACGCTCTGAAAGCATGCATTCAAACTCTCAATTTCTCGCAGGAGCCCATCCGTTTTTGCTTGATTCGTTCCAGTACCTACACAATCTCTGAATTCTGGCGCGTGAACTCCAGTTCCGTACGAAAGTTCATTTCAAACTGGAGGGAAAGTGCGGTGTTTGATTTTCCGCAGTGCGCGGACTGCAGCTGAATGATGTAATGAAGGCAGCGTGCCGCGCATCTGGCCCATAGAAAAGAGATCACAGTTGCATACTCTTGTTTATGGACTCTTGGTAGTAACTACAGTCCTGCTCAATGAAATCCAGTCGCGGCACTCAAGTTTGCGCCTTGCACCAGTTCGAAGCCCAGTGTTCGCAGGTCTAGGGCTGCGCAATGCCCGACGCGTACATGAGTGCATCGACTGGATTTCATTGAGCGGCACTGTACTTTGGTGAGTGTAGTGTTGTCTTCTCTGCAATAACTTAGCATTGGTTGCTGGGACATCTGCTTACTGTAAAAGCGTTCAGTACTTTCTTGGCTGTTGCTTCCACATGTATAGTCGTAGGGCATCAGCAGTCAACAGTTCGTAGTCTGAAAGGTTAAATGCAATTGTCTGTAATTTGTTTTTGCCGTGTAGACGCAAGCCAGATTCCGGGAGAATGACTATTGACGGCAAATCGTTCCATGTGACAAGCCGTGGACATTGATCAAGACCCATGCCACATTATGCTCTGGAGCTTGCAAATCTGACTTGATGTTGAACACTAGCTACGCATTACACAATTAGTACAGTTAGACGGCCGTTTCCCTTATCAGTATGCCCGCTTATCCAAGTTTATCCGTTGTTTATTTTCGCTGACTTCCATTCGTTTTTCGCTACTTGTACATTGCGCCCCGATTGCTCTTGGCTGAATATCGCTCCTTTTTCACATTCTCGTTTCCTGTTCACTATTGCACGGCAACCGTTCCTTTGACAACTGTAGCTATGTACATTGCATATGCCCCTTGTTTGCTGGCCAGTGTGCTTTCTTCATTTTTCCTTGTGTACCGTGACTTATTTTTAAAAAGAAAAAAAGTGCCACTGTAGAACACTACTGGTATGTGTTGTGTACAGTAGGGCATGCATGCGTACAGTAGGGCATGCATGCGTACAGTAGGGCATGCATCGGTTTGCCGCCTCTTGACTTGTTGGCGTGTATGCTTCGGTTTGCTGCACAAGCAGACAATTGCCAGGAGGCGGAAATTAGAGAAGGGGCAGATCAATGGAGTTCTGTCGTAACACGAGTGTGCCAGCAAAATTCTGCAAAGGCTGGCACATGGACTGAATGCTACGATATCATAATGTATTCCGACAGTGGAGCTTGATCAATAGTGAGTCAAATACGACTCCCTGATGTGCGCAGTAGCGCACTCAGCATTACCAAAATTACAGTCTTCATACAGCTTTTAGAGTTCAGACGCTCATTGGCTTGAGGTAGGTGCGAATAAGTAAAAAGCGGGAGTCATGGTATTTGACGACTCCCTGGTAAAAAGTCTAAAGAATTTTTTCATCTCTAGTTAGTGTGACGGGTGCAGCAAGGAAGTTATGGCCAGCATGGAAACTATTGCACCGGGCACTAGTCTGTCAAAATTTGAAGCGTCCAGGAGCGGTCAAGGACATGTGTTCAGGGCTTATGATAGATGTTGCAAGCCTCAATCTCTTGGCTTGGGCGGGGGACGGTACTTTACGATCTGATGATCGTGCATGGAAAACTCCCGATGACCTTGCAAGAAGCATTTCTTGCAGTAAAGGTCTGCGTCGCAGTCCAAGCAGCGCACTACGGCGTTGCTGTTGCAGATGCAACACCACGGCAGTTCATCTTCCTGTCGGTACGGGTCATGATACGCAACGTTGGCAGTAGCAGCAGGAGCAACAGGTGGTTGTCGATGGAGGTCCGCTGCTGAAAGCATGAGAACACACAGTGACAATGTCATTGTGAGATACATGCACAGCGCAACACATTTATAATCATGTACGTGCTCATCAGCACTTCTGGTGTATGCAAAGTCACGGAGCTTGTAATGAAACTATGTGCACACACACACACACACCCTGCACACTGTACACAACTTCACTTGAATTGAATGTGCACAGGCCTGTGGAACTGTTACGCTCTAGCACACCTGCATACATGATTACGGTATGCAAGTGTGCTAATGTAGTCTTTATAATTTCTTTAGACTAGCGAAGAAACAGCTCCACAACTTCAGCATTTGGGTACCTGGCGTCACTGTGGGTAGTGCTGGGTACTAGCAAGAGTACATAACCCCCCAGAGTGTGCAACGCCGATCCAGCTCTGTGTAGGGTCTTGGTCGAGCGGAATCGGATCTTCTGATGTCATGCGTACACTTCACACCAGCGCAAGGCCGGTCTCGAGGCAGGGCACCATTGTTTTTGATCCAAGAGTACCCGCGACTCCCCGGGTTCCCCTCAGATGTGTACGGTATTATGACGCAAAGATCCGATTCCGCTCGACCAAGACCCTATGCAGAGCGGATCAGGCGTTGCACACTCTGGGGGGTTATGTACTCTTGGTACTAGTATTTCTTCGCTTCAGCCATGTGCTACACATAACCGTATCTCAGCACACAGTTTACTGGTACAGTACCAAGAGTACGCTACATACAGTACACCCAGCGGATGTTGACCATGCAGGGCCGGCGCCACTGGTGCGGCTGGCGCGGACTTCCCAAAAAGTCGGTCCACGTGGAACGCCCAAAACCGGAGAGAAATTTTGTTGATGTATGATATTGTACAGGGAGTCGTAACATACGGACTACCCTGTCAGTACAGTGCACACTGCAGTAGGCAGTAGCACTGTATTCTGCATTGGAATATCAGACTTGCAAGTTGTACCCAGAAGATGCACCAAAATGCGCCCAGAGTGCAGGATTTACCATCAAATTCCTAAAATTTTCTGAGGGAGTGCCCCCACACCCCCTTACAAATGGGCCCAGCCGCACCTCTCCGCGGGACCTGCCTCAGGCCCTGCCATGTGGTTTGGATTTTCCCATTGGAGTGAGGTCTGTCAATAAAACCAACTGCCTGAACTCCTATCAGCCTTCTCCCTTCAAGTGAGTTGCAGCAAAATATCGAAGGACATACAAGTGATGCCCATGACATTGTTGACAGACGCATCAACCCTGCTCCTGTCCAACAGGTTCACGGAAGATGTGAGCTGTATGCATTATTGAGAGAATGTAAACGACTAAACGTATACAGTCAGACCTCGCATAATCGCACACAAGCGTTTTCCACAAAAATATCCGGATAGGCGAGGGAACCGGATAATCGAACACACACACTGTATGTATGCATGGCATATGCTGTAAATCGGTAACCAACGATTTCCTTCCGGATGGTGAGGGATCCGGATAAAAGAGGACCGGATAAGCGAGGTCTGACTGTATAACATTTATCACGGACATCAATGTTGGCTTCTGTGGGGTATTATCATGCCACATTGATAGCCACCACCATCACCAACAGCACACACGCTTATGGATTGGTACATGCAAGTGGCAAATACATCGCGGAGTCTCTTACCTGGTGCAATCCCCGTCCCACTGCCTGTAGATGCAGTTGATGGCGCAGCTGCTTCTGCTGATGATGGGGGAGGTTGGTCTGCCTGTGCTGGCGTCGGCGGGTCCTGGGATCGCAGGGCATCCGACAGACCGGCTTTCTCCAGGTTCTCATCAAGGTCAGCCTCATCCTGCAGCTGTTTCAACAGCTTGTTGACACCCGTGCCTTCATCATCCATGTCACTGCTGTCATCATCATCATCATCATCTGATGCGCCAAAAGTTTCATGCATTGACATTGCCTTGGCTACCTCACTGTCAAGATTCGCCTTCCCACTTGAGTTGCCGCTGGCATTCTGGGACTGACCCTCAGCAGTGGGATCGCCCTCCGCTGTCCTGCTAAGCTGAGCCACGCGCGCCATTATCTCCGCGTCTTGGGCAAGCCATTCCTGAGCGGCGAGTTGTTCCTTCTTGTTCATAGCAATCAGGTCTTTCAGCAGCGATTCCGCCTCGTTGGTCAATGCCGACTGGTCAGCATCTGCAGAGGCATCATCACTACCTTCTACATCTTCATTTGGTGGTAGTTTGGAGGATAGTGCAGTGGTGCTGTTATCTGTACTGGCTGTTGTGTCATGCTTCGGTGATGCAGTGCGTAGGTTACCGAGGCGGGCATGCAAGTTCTCGTCTTGTGCATCCAGGATGCTGTCCAGCTCCACTTCCTCGTTGGTTTGGTTCAGGAGTAGGTCGACCTCTTCGTCCGCCGTCATCTTTGGTGCCCGCTTGGCGGCAGAGTGATGTGTTTTCTGTTCCAGAGTGGACTTATCGACACCCATAAGCCGTGCCAGGCGACCCTCAATGTCATCTGCCGATACACTACCAGCATTGGCAGCTGCTCGGTCAGTGCCAGAAGGCTGACCTCCACCGCCACCGCTGTCATCCTTGTTGGCAGCAGCTTTGGGTTTCTGCTTCAGCTCAGCTAAGCGCTGTTCCAACACAACGTCCTGCGGCTCTCTGACGTGCTTGACCGTTTGCTCCGCGCGGGATTCAGCTGCTTTTCTCTGACTTGGCGGCAAGTGCTGAAACGCTCTGCGGTCAACATTAGGGGAAATCGACGGGCTTTTCTTAGGCTTAGCTGCTTGACCGGATGCAGCAGCTAACAGCCTAGCTTCAGCAGCACCTCTCTGGCTAGGAGGTAAGTTACGAATAGTTTGGACCTGAGCGGGAGTTAGGACGGCACGGTTGGCTGAAGGAGACCTGCTACTGAGTTGTGCAGTGCCATGAGCAGGCGCAGTAGGGAAATCCCCCTCATGTCTCAAGTCGTTTGTTCTGGAGCTTTCTCCACTTACAGTTACAGAGGGTGTATATTCTGGCGGGTGATCACGATGCTCTGAGTCTGGTGTGGGTTTTGCCTTCTCATCGGCAGACGTGTTGGTCAGCTTTTGATAGCATTTCTCGCACACACGTTGTTTCTCACCATCCAGCTTCAGCCAGTGATTGCTGCATTTGCTGCAGAATATGAAAAGGCACACTGCACAGCCGTGAGACCGTTGGAACAAAGAAAACTCCTGTTGACAGCGTGAACAGGGCATGTTTTCGAACGCACCACAACTACAGTGTAGAAGCTAGCTTGTGGATATAAAGGTTCTCATTTCTCTCAACATTTCTGGAAATTTTGTCTGTGCACTGTGCGAACTGCGAAGACACAAAAATCATTGGATTCAAACATTACGCATGATGTCATAATGATTGTGCGACTGAATATTTTGTCGGTTCCGATATTTGGAGCTGGTTTCAGGAAGTTTTCTCAATCAACCCAGCTGTTCATCCCGGTGATGGATCAATGCAGTCACTGCAGAAAATGGCCGCCCACGTCTCAACACGAGCTGAATTCGGGTTGGAGTGACGAAAACGCAGAAATTGTAGAATCCTACAACTCGATAGAAATGCGCTAGTAGTGATGTCATTGTTACATACAATGTACGTAATCATCGAGCGAATGCGGATTTTTTTATTTCGGCTTTTTCGAGAGCACGGTACTGCCACGGGATCCGGTAATCAATGGTTTTCCACAGACAGTTCGCAGCACAAAAGCCAGTCCTTTCAGCCCAGCAAATTGCAAACCCCTTCCATATCGCCTGTTGACAAAAGACCCTCTTGTAGAGGAATTGGTGGTAGTTGCAGCCCACCACATTGGGTTTAGTCTACCTCTCGGGCCGCCTCTGAAAAGGTAAGTTTCTTGTTGTTCTAACGTGTCTTCTTCATCCCAAAGTGTTACTGTAAATATAACTGTAAACGTCTTCAGCTTGCTGTGCAATGTAAACTAATTTAGCAATCCCATAATAGAGTGATGTCAACGAGAGCTGTACCACTCATGCCGTGGCGGCTCGTATGTTGAAAATCCATTATTTCTTCGCCTCCTCATTCTTATGCCAGGATTCACGTAGCTTTGATTCATTTCTCTTTGGCCAAGTATAGAAATATATTCCTTGAAGATCGCACCTTTTCAACATGGGTACCCGGGTACACTCATATTATGCCAGATTCTACTGGGAGTGGGACCGTTTGCCTTGGTTTCTGGCCAAGTGACACGTTTGTTACATGAGTTGTAAGAATACTACTTTTGAAAACTGCACTTCATAATTATAACACTAAAATGGTCTAAATTTTGCGACAAGTGCTAGTACCGTAAAGTCCGGAGCAAACGCCCACTTCGCAGCAAACGCCCACCCCAGCGGGTCCATACTATTTTCGTCTTTTTCAGGTCAATATAGTTGTAAACAACTGGCATGAAGGTCGAATGCGTACGAGAACGACTGTAATGCCTACAAACTGCCTATGTCCTACCAGGAGGCTGTGCAAAAGCGATTGTCATTATCTTCCTGCAAAGAAATAACTTCTGTCGAGATTTCCTTTCATTCAATAAATGTGGTAGTTCGTTCTCCATGTGGTACGAGTAATGCCGCATAAATGTGTGCAGTGCCACGATGTCGCGCTGTCAGGAACAATAATTGTTCTGATGAAGCGTCAGTCAACGGCTTGACTGGTCCCAATATTGCAGTTAAAGGTCGAACAGGGTATGTAACAGAAGCTACACCTACAACGTCGCTGCTAACTTGTTGAAAACTCCGAAGTGCCCAAGAAAAACATTTGCCTTTGGGCGCTGTGTGATCTCGAAATGATGGCTTGAAACACCGTCAGAAGTGTATTTGGTTCCTTCAATACTCTGTTCTTCGGTACCTTGTTATTCGGAAGAAAACCCGTTCGGATTTGCGAAATAAAACAACCATCATTATAAAATCACTACGAGCTAGCTAGCTCGTGGCTATAGCGCTAGTGCACAAAGAGATTTTGAAACCAGGAAAGTGGACATAGTTTACCATAGCAAAGTGCTCTTCCCGCTACGGTGTGAGATGCACTTTCGTACAGTAGGGGTGACAGTGCATGGGGTCAGTGTGTACAGGCCAGCAGATCTTGCAAAAATGGGGTGGGCGTTTGCTCCGGACTTTACGGTACATGTATTTCATTTTTGTATTCATTGTTTTGAGCCTAAGGGCCGATTTCCACTACGGTACCGTGAGTGCCGTGCCGACGATTTGGGTGGGTCACGTGTACCCCACGGTACGAGCCTGAAACCGAGATTGATTTACACCTGCGCACAGTCGTTCCGTGCATTCCGTCGGCAGGCCAGATCACCATTTTTATCAATTTCTGACTTTCGTCTGGAGGGAAAATAGCGGGGGAGATGACTGGAGAAAGCTCAAAAATAAACCAATCGAAAAGCCAAAAGCCGAGAAAAAAACTTCATACCACAAATACAAGAGAAAGAAAAACTTCCTATCAGGGAGTAGTAAAATACCTACTACTCACTGAATTTGACCTCACGGAATACCACGGGATGCCATTTCCACCCCCCAGAGGCCCTCGGCACCGGAATGTCCACGGCCCGGTACGGCACACGCCACGGAATGAACTCGCGCCAAAACTGCCCCTCACGTGAGCAAATCACCATGGGTACTCACGGCACGGCACTCACGGTACCGTAGTGGAAATCGGCCCTAAGGGAAAGATGCGAACGGGAATGATGACGTTGCAGTCCCAGTCCAATGGTGCATTCAAACATGAACATATTAAAATTTTTGAACCAGCTCTGAAACAGTGATCAAGTGATAACCTGCATACAACACTGTACATGTTATGGTCACGTTCAAGCTATGGAGAGACGTTACATTTTTTTTCATTGCAAGATTTGTGCTCTTGTGCCTTGCGTGTTGCAGATATCAGATATGGACTCGGACTCGGACTCCTCTTCTGATGGTGTCGAGGAGCCATTCGAAGTGGAGACAGTGGACCTGCTG